GATGCAGCTCATGGTGGCCGGTTTGGCCGTCGTTCTTGTGACTCTCGCCACCCAGCTCCGGGCCAACTCAGGTTTCACTGGCGCCTCCCTCGTCACTCTGATGTCCTGGGGCGAAACTCTTTCATCACTCGTCCGTTTCTACACCCAGCTGGAGACCTCGATCGGTGCAGTTTCTCGTATCAAGACCTTTTCTGAGAAGGTCAGCCCTGAAGACTTGGACGGTGAGGATATCGAGCCGCCCGAAGAGTGGCCTGAAACCGGGCACATCGAGATCAACGGCGTCTCTGCCTCGTACAAGTAAGTTGAGTTCAAATCGTTTATAGACGACGCTGACATCATGTAAAAGCAATGAACAGCAAGCAACATCAGATGTCGCGACACCCCCTCCGCATCTCGCTCTGAAAGACCTCAAGTTCTCCATCCAGCCTGGCCAAAAGGTTGCCCTGTGTGGCAGAACCGGCAGGTAAGTTGCCTTTTGCATCAGACTGCCCATGGAGGGTACGAATACTGACCTCATACCTTTAGCGGCAAATCGTCTCTCATTCTCCTCCTTCTCCGGCTTCTAGACCCAGTCTCATCCTCTCCAAAGAACATTGAGATGGATGGCATCCCCTTTCACCGCATCGACCGCTCAACTCTCCGCCGCCGCATCATCTCCGTGCCTCAAGATGCGGTGTTCCTCCCCGACGGTAGCACCATCAAGGCGAACATAGACCCTTTCAACGCAGCCACAGATGCAGAGTGCTTCTCAGTCCTCCGCTCCGTGCAACTTGGCACCTTTGTCGAAGAGCGTGGAGGTCTGCGCGAATCCATGAGCGCAGACAGTCTTAGCGCGGGACAGAAGCAGCTCTTCAGCCTTGGGCGAGCAATCCTGCGACGCAGGGTCAAAGACGCCAAGTTCAAGCGGTGCGGCGGTGGGATTCTGTTGCTGGATGAGGTCAGCTCCAGTGTTGATCACGCGACGGATAGGTTGATGCAGGAGATTATCAAGGAGGAGTTTAGGACGTATACGATCGTGATGGTGTCCCATCGCCTGGACATGGTGATGGACTTCTTTGATGCGGTGATCGTCATGGCCCAGGGGCGCGTCATGGAGACGGGGAGTCCGAAGGAGCTTGTTGAGACGGAGGGGAGTCGGTTTGGTGAGCTGTGGGCGATTGAGAATCAGGGAAGGTCAAGGGATCCTGTCAGGTAGCCACGGGTCATGGTGGGAGCATCACTGTATCGAGCGAATGATGTTAGTCAATAAAGAGCATGTTCTGGTATGGCAGTCCTTGAACATGGAAGAGAACATTCAATCAGGAGACAATATTAACACGGGAGGGGATCAATGCGGCACGCTGGGCCAGCAAAAGAATGAGCAGCTTCTATTCACCAACTTTACCCCAATCCTTAAGCAAACACTCGGGAGCAAACATCCTCTGTTCACCCGTCGAAGTCTTGTGAGTATTATCAAAGAATGAACCTCCTCTGTTCACCCATCCAAGTCCTACGAGTCATATCAATGAATGGGCATCTTCTGTTCACCTGTGCTGTTTGTTTCAATCCTATAAGTAAACACTCGAGAATGACACCTGGTGTTTCCTTCCCTTGCTTCCATAAGAAACAAAACCACGACCACAAAGCTTGAGGATTATCATTCTCTCACCACCAAGTACCTCCACTTTCAGCAACCAGGACTGCATCATGGCACTCAACAGAAAGACTATTGCAGTTATAGGGGCTTTGAAACTCAACATGAACCTGGCTAGGGAGCAGCCCCTTCTCCCCGGTGCAAATATTGAGGAAGGAATTTTACCACCCAAAGATAAGCCTACCCTCGAAGGCATTACTACTGCACTCGCGGCTTATGAAACCTTTTCCGACTTATCGGAACGGTCGCGCAGCAAATGGGTTCCTGACGTCAGGATGGTCAGTGTAATCGGGAGAGACGATCATACCGAAAACATCATAGCAAGAGTTAAGGAATTCGGCATCGGTACAGAAGGCATCAAGATAATGCCCGACAAAAATACAGACGTGCTCTTCAACGTATTGACGAAAAGTACCGGCGAAACCAAGCGCGATAGGATTCCTAATCCGGCCACGCCTGCCTGTTGGACAGAGGAAGATTTTGAGAACGCTCAGAGCTTCGGAGGCGATCCCAAGCCAGACTTGATCATTATCTCGACAGAACTCGAAGACAAAGTCTTTGCGAAGATTTTGACGTGTGCTAAAGACAATAATATTGAGGTGTTCTTGGGCAAGATGCCTTCGTATCCAATCGCTGAGTCTTTTGACTCTTTTCAAGCATATTACATATCTTGTGGTCCATGGTAAAGAGGAGGCTGAGAGGTTATCCTCCGATAAGTTCGACAAGGGATCGACATACAAATGTGCTACGAAGTTAATTGGGTGGGGAGTGAAGAATGTGGTTATCACAGAGGGGCATGAGCGTGCATGGTTTATGCTTGGGCCTTTGAGGAACCATCACTGGGACCGCTTTAGGTTCAGAGATGGGATCGAAAAAGAGTATACGGATGATGAACGGTAAATTACTTCTCTCTCTCTCCGCTGCATCTTCTAGTTTGGGTACTGATATAGGCGGATAGGGACAGGTTTACGGGGACACTTGCAGCTGATTTGCTTGTCTATGCATATCAGGGTAAGTTAGCCGTGGAATATATGGAGATGGCACTCATGATTGCGGGTAAAGCGGTTGCGAGTACTACTTAGAGAGCCGGCACGACAAAGGATTGATGCCATGGTTCAATATGATTGACAGTTCTTGAAGCCCCTGAGTGTTCATGATCGTTCTTCTCTTCATGTCATCTGAAATCCCTAGATACGTTTTTACATTTGGCATTTTGCTTTCCTTATACTATGTTGTTGGTCTTTCAGTATACCTTATTATTTCAATAATTTGTATCCAAAACCATTTGCTTTTGGGTTTGTTCTTTTGTCTCGTTTTCTTGGAACTCTAGAACATACATCAAAATTGAATATGTAAAAAAAAATCATTCTTAGACCACCTCAGTTGATACTAGCTTCTTATGAGCACATTTTATAAGCAAGTGGAGAGCAAAAATCCGCAATATTAATCTTCCCGCTGTGTCCGGCTTTGCCTGTCGACCGAAGTGCGATGGACAGGGGAGGAACTTGCCACCTGTGGCGAGCCAGTTGACAGCAGAGTGTTCAACTGAGTCGAGTCATCGCGAGAGAAGTTATTCAGGAAGGCTGGCCTCGGGAATGATTTGGAGGCTGCGTGGATGCAGTATCGGGATGTAGATGAGCCTGCATTAGTACTTCTCTTTGTACACCTGACCAGTGCAGCTTGCAGGAAAGCACTGGCGGTGAATCTTAACCGCCAAAACTGTGTATTTTACTTGGAAGATTGTTGGCTACATAGGCCCTGGGCTGTGGTGCAACTAAACTTGCCCCCCTTTGTTCCGCAGCAGGGAGCAGGCCATGGGCCGTCAGAGGTGACACGTCTTGAGAGGTAGCCTAGCCTCGTTCCTGCTTGCATGTATTGTTATCATTCTTGGCCTACCATGTCGGCACACCTTGGCGTCACATAAACTGTGCCAGCGGGCTGCTTAGCGAAGCAGCTCTCATGAACTGATCTTCCCTGATTTCTTACTGAGTTAAATCGAAGGCCGCAACTGAATGAATGTAAAGGGGGTTGAGTTGTTTCCTCGCGTCAGTAGCCGACGTAGGCACTTGAAGCCTGTCCAGCAACAACATGAAGATGTTACACCGCTCCACCCCACTACCTTGGAGAACCATCTTTCAGTTGCCCGACGGCTAGGAGTTGCTGCCTCCATAAATCATCACGAAACCTCGCGTTTGAAAACTTACACCATGACACCGCAGAATATCGCAATTATTGTGGCTGATTCCAAGCCCAGGAGGGAGTGGTCTCGCAAATCACAATCAGGAAGCCTTATATGGAGAGTGGGCGAGCGCCCTGGTTTTACCACCATTTTCATGAGAAGTAATGGGAAGACTTCTCCGAGAGTTCGTTGAGTTCGTATGAAATCTACCTAGTGAGCTATGGGCGATTAGTAATCGGGGGAATGCGTGTAAGACGGATATTATCAATTTGGGGAGAAACTCACTCAGCATTACACAAAGATTTCAACAATGAGAAAAGGCCTTTGCCTTGGTATTGCAGTCTGTGAGTACATCGGAGGCTCTCATCCAGGTACAAGGTCGCAATTTCTTTGAGCCGCGCAGACATGGACATCCCCGGGTCGATATGAGGGCAGACAAAGAAGGAGAGTCTTCTGTTCAAACATTCCAGTCCTATAAATAACCATCATCGTCGCAACCCGCCAGTTTTACGATTCCTGACTTGCTAACATCAAACAACCTTACGATCGACAATTACAGGATGGAACCAGAAACGAAGACTATCGCAGTTATCGGGGCGCTGGGTGTTGATCACATCATGATCGTACCCCGTTTTCCAAAGACAGGAGAGAGCATTAAAGCAAGTCATTCCGAGAAAGACTTGGGGGGCAAGGGTGCGAACACCGCGCTTTCGACATATCGCTCCTGTTACAATAAGGCATCGCTAGGCAGGGGCGATGGTGCCATTTCGGGTTAAGATGATTGGCAAGGCCGGCAATGATCAATACGGAGAGGCGCTTGAGAAGAAGCTTTTCGAGAACGATATCGATATCTCTGGCGTCAACGTGGTGCCAAACTTATCATCCAGCAAACGCGTCGTCATGATCGATGAAGAAACCCACGAGAGTCGGTGTGTGGTTAGCCTGGGGGCAATAGCGGCCTGGAAGAAGGAAGTTTTCAGCTACGCTGAGCAGTTTGGAGGTGACGAATGGCCGGACTTAATCGTGGCGTAGATGGAAATCGATAAGGAGGTCGTTGAGACTATGATTCACACGGCTGGTCACGCTGGTATCCCGTTCTGCTTGAATGCCGCGCCAGCGAGCCCGATCAACCACGAACTTTATAGGTTCATTACGCATCTTGTGGTAAACGAGTTCGGGGCTGCGATTATGTCTGGCCGTATGCCGGATAACGTGACGGAGAGCACTTGGCCAATAATTGCCCAGGACTTTTTGAAGGTTGGGCCCGGGAACGTGGTTATCACGCTGGGTGCCAAAGGTGCCTTCTACGCCGACACAAAGGTCTCCGGGCACTGCGCTGGATATCCCGTCCCCGTCATGAATACGACTGGAGCAGGGTGAGTGGTCCATACTCTTCATATTCAGATGATGTCACAAGACTAATACAGGTACTAAGCGATACCTTTACTGGGGCGTATGCAGCCGACTATGTGCGTCAGATATCCAGTCCATCTGTAGATTGGGATATTCAGAGTGCCGTCGTTCGCGCGAATAAAGCTGCTGCTATCTCTATTGGGAGAATGGGCGCTCAGGGGCATATTTCTTAGGCGGTTGAAATTGATCAGTTTAACATGATGGCAGAGAAGACTTTTGACTAAGTCCTGAGGCAAAACCTGTAATTTATTCAGAATTATGAGCTTGTTTTCCCTGTTCTGTTTTAATCACTCTATGACCACGCCGTGGAATGACGCCCGAATGGTGCCAGGCCGAATGGCGGGAGTACGGAGGGCTGCGCAGGCACCGGTTCCGGGCGGGGTTAAGGTTATCGGAAAGGGGATCAAGGAGGGAATTCGGCCCAGGATTTCCAGATGTGGCTTTGGTGTAGTATTACAATGCTGGTCATGGCTGAAGACGCCTAGATCGAGAGGAGGTGCAGCGCAAAAGATCGTGGGGTGTTCAGCCGCAATGCGAGGGTGTGCTTTTGCCAGCTTCCGACCTCGGCATAGCTTCTGAAGAAGTCAGCTGCCCCATCTCTCTCTCTTCCGTCTGCTAGAATTTCAAGATGCAGCGCTCCCAAAACTTGTGGAAAGAAGAGTATCAATTTGACCATGTCACCAGAATTGGACCACAAAATGCCATGGTGAGGGTGGGTAAGTGAGTATCCTGTAGCATGTTCTACTTTGGGACCAAGATCATCATCAAAAAGACCCCAAAAGCACGAGTCTTGCAAACGAGAACGAGATGTCTAGATCATGCAGCCCCTCGTGCTCCTCATCGCGCCGTGGTTCCTGGTGGCTGCGTGGCTTGCAGGTGTGGCAGCCCAGGGCATGCGCACCCCCGCCGCCCCTCCTTCTAGAACATGTGCAGATCTACCTCCCCGATCGGGATAGCAACCATAATGTCGGATATTCGATAGTGCCATTCTTGTTGGACTTGTTCTAACGTTGTCTGGGCTCCAAGTTCGTTTGGTGGGCTTCGGATACCTTCCTATGTGGTCTTAGGTCTTGCGTTTGGGTTTTGCGCGTATATCCAGAGAAATGTGCTCATTAGTCACCAATTTGTATCTTGGGTAGCCTGGATTGGTCAATGAACCGGATGGAGCGTGGTGGATATGCGTACGAGACCTTTCATCATTCTGTTACGCACTGGTTTGAAAGGAAAAAGTTGCAGACTGTTCAAGAGACGCGACATGCCGTCAGCATGAGACCAGATGAGGCAATGGTGCAGGGTGTCTCGGCTTCGGATGTGCCCTTGAAGCCCGCCCGGGCTGCCGCTCCGGCTACGTTGGCGTAGAGAAGAGAGGGAGCTTGCTGATCTTCATCGGGTAGAGACATTCAAACCAACATCTCCTCACGTCAGCGAATGAGTCGATGATTTGATTAGCTGACGGGCTTGGACCTTGGTCGGTGAATGGGGCGTAAGGCGTGCAGCTCTCATGTTGCCAGGCGAAGTGCTCCACGATGGAGAGTGGGGGGGCGAAGCTGGAATAGGCACAGAGGATGCGAACGATGTGACGCTGCAGATGGGTGTTTCTTAGAGTTGTTTGTTTGCCTGTAAGCCTTGTTTTCTGTTGGTAGAGGCCGAGGATCCAGACTTGGCTCAAATCTTAATGCGCATGCGGGTGAAATTGTTGGTTCCTCTCGTTGCCCGACTGCTCGTGTTTGGGCGAATGCGGCGGTGACTGGCATTGAGGATATCTTGTAGAACGTAAGACCTATTGGGTCTTAACCATGGCTCAATAGCCTTTCAAGCCAATGTAAATGTTATTCCTCTCATAAGCAGTTCTTCTGGATTGAAGTCAAAAGAGAAGAAAACAATCTGATGTTGTTCAGTTGAAGGAGGAAGAGAGAATGGAACCTGGAGGGGTGGAGTAAGGTACCCCTTTCCGGTACGTACCGCTGACCCCTGCAGGTGGATCCTCGGATCGCTCAGCTGCCTAAATGGGTTAGAACAAGGTCCACTAGCTAATACGGGCTAAGCGGGAACGCACGGGCCATCAGCTTATCGCATTTACGAATGGCGCTAACAGGCGCCTTCCCTCGTGACACCCACCGCCGTCTCTTCCTCTCCCCATTCTCTCTCATATTCCATGAACCACCACTTCATGGATCACAACATGATCCGCTTATGTTTCTGATCGGTACCTGAACGAGCGGGGAAGTGACTCTTTGAAAGTAGAACGAAATTTGGCAACTTTCTTTCGCCGACCACGCGGCTGTATGCGCCTTTTCTGCAACATCCTCAAGCCATGAACGCCATGAACGCCATAGACGCCACCATCGATGCGCCCCAGCTCTCTCCAACGACATTGGTCACCAACTACTGTGTCGGTAGCGATGGCTTCTTTCTTATTGTCAATGTCTCGACTACGCGACGATGATAATATCCGTACGCAGATATGAATACCAGCGTATCGGACCGGTGCCTGAACCTGCCTTGGAGTGCGACAGGCCCACAGAGTGGCACATAGCCATTGCCATGTGCCTTTGGAGCAACAGGTACAACCTCTTGGCTGCCTTGCCACACATGATAGCTTCATCCATCCGTCGACGTTGTGTCTAGTTCCATAACATCGGACGAAATACGGCTGGCTACGAGGCAGTTCTCTCAAAGGATCGACCACTCCGCCGGATTCCTCGTCTGGCGAGATGGCCCCTCCTGCCCAACTCTGGCCCAAGTGCTCTGCCATGGACTGTTGAACGGCACCCAGACACAGGCCATCCACGACCCACGCTATCAAGACAATCCTAGGCCTTGATACCACCTCTTGGCATGCACAACGGCCGGGTTGTGGAGGACATCTCAAGGCGGTAGGTGTCCAACGAACGGCGCACCCGTACCGCACGCCATTCGCACTATTGGACCCCGCCTAGCCTGCACCCTCTGCGCCGTGCCATCCACTGCATCCCAACGAGGAAGCTCATCCAAGTCTTGGCGGCTCTTCGAATGAACAACCTCCATTGACCGGCATCAACGTCCAAGACCACGACTCGCCCGTCCGGACCCTTGCGAAATTACACTCTCGTTGTTTGCCCCAGATAGCACGGCCCGCGCCTCATGGGTCGCGCCATTCAACCGCCGGGCGAGCATGCCTATTCTCGCTCTGTCTCTCCATGCTTCGGCTTCCCCATCCCCCAGTCTTTGGACCTTGCAGCAAAGCACTCGATGCTCAACGCGACTCTGCAACTGGGCATGCAACTAAACATGCGCGCACAAGACAGATGCAGCTAGCTGCGTACAACTTGGTAGCCCTGGCCAATGAGCATGCCTCTGAATCCTGGATATCACGTCTTCAACAGGGGGTATGAGCAAGGTAGCTTCATCTTCCTCGTGCTACCTCTCATAACGTCTCTTGCTATGCCGAGCTTGAGACTGGCCGCACTGCTAAGCATGCGTGGGCTCGTGGGCTCATGGGCATCTGCCTCCCGGAATCGGCGACGCCACCTTACGGGCATCTGGTCGTCAGCGAGAAGCGTGAGATAAGGGCTACTTAAACCACGCCGCCGCCGCGATGCCATCTTGACATGGTTTTCTTCGGTAGCTTTGCGCTCTCTCACCCTCGTTCATACCAAGGCAAGACCCAGCAACCGGCAAGATGCGCATCTCGGCCACTGTTTCCGCCTTCGCCCTCGCTCTCCACCTTGGAGGCGTTGCGGCCCTCGGCCCTCGCCAAGAAGCCAGCGATGAGAAGGAGACTCCTACCTTCATCGCCAAGAGCTTCATCATCGAATACGCTCCTGTGAGTGCCCGCTGCGCGTGGCTGCTGCCCGAAGAAAACCTTCCCAAAGGTTGTAGTCCCCAGCTGACACTCACCGTCTTTCTTACTCTAGGGTTCCAGCGCTCGCGTTCGTCGTCAAAATGTCGCCTCCACAGACGGCATCACCGTCGTCAAGGAGTTCGCCAGCAACGTCTTCTCCGGTGCCAGCATCGAGACTGACACCTTCACTCTCGACACCCTGCAGGAGCTGCCCGACGTCGTCAACGTCTGGGTCAACGAGCAGATCAAGCTTGCGCCGACAGAACCCAAGGCCGCTGCGCCTGAGGATGCTCCCACATACTCGACACACAATGCCACCGGTGTAGCCAAGCTTCACGCCCAGGGCATCTTTGGTAAGGGTGTCAAGGTTGGTGTTGTTGATACCGGTATCTGGTACAAGCACCCTGCTGTAAGTTGGAGCTGTGCACATCGTGAGTGCGAACATACACTTACAACATAATAGCTGGGCGGCGGTTTCGGCCCTGGTTTCAAGGTTGCCGATGGCTACGACTTTGTCGGTGATGGTTCATACCCGGCCAGCGGTCCTAAGGCGCCCGATGAAGATCCTCTCGACACCCGCGGCCACGGTACTCACGTTGCCGGTATCGTCGCTGGCAAGACTGACTCGTGGGTCGGTGTTGCCCCCGAGGCCACTCTTCATGCCTACAAGGTCTTCTCCAACGCGGCATCTACCGACACGGCGACTTTGATTGAGTCATTCCTCGCTGCCTACGACGACGGTGTCGATATCATCACTGCCAGTATCGGTGGCTCCAACGGCTGGTCTAACAACGCCTGGGCCGAAGTTGCTTCCCGTTTGGTCGATGAGGGTATCGTCGTCACCATTTCCGCTGGAAACAGCGGTGCCAGCGGCCCTTTCTACGGTAGCTCTGGATCGTCCGGCAAGAATGTCATTGCTGTGGCTTCCGTTGAGACGGAGGTCTTCCCGGCTATCCCCTTCGAAGCTACCTATGGCGGCAGCGAGACCGTTCGTGTGGGATACCTTCCTGCGGGAACCTACTTCCCCAACACCATTGTCGACTGGCCAATCGTCGCCCTCAACACCGATACGAGTGCCACCGCTGATGGCTGCACGCCCTACCCGGCGGGCAGCCCCGACCTGACGGGCAAGATCCCCTTGGTTCGTAGAGGAACTTGCACGTTCCAGGTCAAGCAAGAGAACCTCGCTGCCCTAGGCGCAAAGTACATCCTCATCTACAACAACGCTTCGCCCATGACGACCCCTAGTACCAGCAACACCGACAGCCAGATCGCCATGATCACTGCCGACTCCGGTGCTGCCTTCATCAACGCCATCAAGGCCAACACCACCGTCACCGCTGACTTCTCGGTCAACCCCGAGATCCCGATTGCTCTCGACTACCCTGCTGGAAACCGCCCCAACATCTTCACCAGCTGGGGGCTGCTGTACGACAACCAGCTGAAGCCTGACATTGCTGCCCCCGGTGGTAACATCTTCTCTACCTACCTCGACGGAACCTACTCCATCCTGTCGGGTACGAGCATGGCTTGCCCTTACGTGGCTGGTGTCGCCGCGCTCTACATCTCTGAGAAGGGTGGTCGCAGCGTCCAGGGCAAGGGTTTCGCCCGTGCTCTGTCCCGACGCATCATCTCCAGTGGTTACGCTCTGCCTTGGTCCGATGGAACTGCTACGGACTACGGCTACAGCGCGCCCCCGGCTCAGGTTGGTAACGGTCAGATCGACGCCTGGAAGATCCTCAACTACGACACCCAGCTCGAGTTTGAGAAGATCCAGCTCAACGACACCCGCTACTTCAGCCGTTACCACGATGTTACCGTCACCAACAACGGAAAATCAGATGTCACCTACAAGTTCTCCGTTCAGCCCGGTGCTGGTGTGGATGCCCTCGCGTGGATCCCCGCCACCTCCAGCCTTCCCGGTACCAAGCGTGTCAAGACCTTTGCCCAGCTCGCCCCCAAGACGTACACTCCGGACATCAGCCTTCCTCGTGACTTCACCCTGAAGGCTGGCGAGACCAAGACTGTGTCCGTTAACTTCAACAACCCCGATAATCTCGGCTGGAACGCGACTGGCCTGCCGCTCTACGGAGGCAAGGTCGTCATCCAGGGCAGCAACGGCGAGCAAGTCTCAGTTCCCTATGCCGGCGTCGGTGCTGATCTCCGCAACACCCTCGGCGGTGTCCACGAGGCTGGCTGGCCCCAATCTGTCTCCACTGTGAACGATATCCCCATCAGCCAGAAGGCGTCCTACTCCTTCGACCTCAGCATTGAAGCTCAGGACTTCCCTAGGATCTTCCAGAAGCTCCTTTGGGGAACCCGCCAGACACGTTGGGACATCTACGAGGCTGGCTGGACTGAGCGCCAGTGGGTCTACCCTCCCGTTGAGGGCCAGAACGGCTACATTGGTTCGGCCGCATCATGGGTCGGCTCTGGCGAAATCCAGACCTTTGACCCCGCGCAATATGACCCCAACGATACCTTCACCTACCCCATCACCGACATTTACCGCAACGCTGGCGCGACCTACCACGAGCACTGGTGGTTCGGCAAGTTGGGCAACGGCACACAAATTGCGCCTGGTAACTACACCTTGCGCTTTGCCGCTCTCCGACCTTTCGGAAATCCCACACACGCGGACAACTGGGATGTCTACAAGACCCCTCAGATCCAGATCACGGGACAGTACTAGACGTAACGACTTGATCTTACGAGCGCATAGTATGATAAAGTAATGATTTAATAGAACTATAATACTTCTGAGAATTTACCAATGCTTTGTGCAATTTTGTGTGAGGTCTCGAAACAAATTTCCCAGAAACATGTCTGAACCGGCCGCTGGTAGCCGGACCCCGCCTCCCTTCACGAAAGTCCCCGTACCACACCCTGATGCCAATTGCTGCAGCTCGTTTACGAGTTCGCTCAGTTGCCCCGCGTCAGCCTCACGTATGGCGACATGAACCTACGGCAGCCTACATGACGCGACCCTTCATCGAGATACGCAAAGTAGCAAAGATTCTCCGATGACCATTGACGACTCATTCGTCGTGCAGATTAGCCCCGCCGCTAATGCATAAAGAGACCTTTCTGTATCCCGAATCGACAGAGGAATGGCTGTCAGTAGAAACGAGGCAAACGGGCTCACTTCCTCGCGGCCCGCGCCGCAGAAGTGGGCTTGATCGAGCTGGGATGGTTGGTAAGTGGGATTCGGCTTGCAGACCGAGATCCTGATGGCAATTTGGTGATCATTTTAGCAAATATGAGCGAGTGATAGCCCACACATATGCAGGTCCCGTAAGAAACTTGATTTCTGCACATGTGAATTGAGAGGGGAAAGATATCGGTTGGCTGGTGACTTTCGACACTGATCTTCGCTCTGTTGTCTGGGACGGTGTACCTGATTTTCTTGTGTGAGAGATCTAGCGTGTCTTCGCACAATGACCTATGTCAACTGAAAGAAGTATATCTTGGCCAAGGCTCCCTCGATTACCACCATGACTTTATGAGAACAAGACAGCAAGCGACGAAACATATTCGCTAGTATCATTAGTTATACTCTACACTATCCGCGTTCTCAAATTACCGCCAAGATGACGATCGAAGAGCAGCCCGAGCAGTTCAACAACACACGCAAAGCTGACTTCAGATCAATCTACAACCAGCCCGATCCCCGCGCCTACTTCGCGGCACTAACGCCGCTGCAATACCAAATCCCGCAACAGGCACTTCCCTTTATCAAGCGCGTTCTCCAGCATATCTCAACCGGCGACCCATCTCCAACCTCCAACGGTGATGATGTGGTGACCACAGTAAACAAAGTCAAGGTTCTGGACGTATGCTCCTCCTACGGCATCAACGCTGCCCTCCTCCGCCACGACATCGATATGGACGGCCTGGCGGAGCACTACGCCTCCACACCTAAACTCTCCTCTCGTGAGCAGATTGAGGCAGACGAGCGGTTCTTTGCGGCACATAAATTGCAGCGCGACCAGGGCTCGAATAACGATTTCGAGGTACTCGGCTTAGACGTCGCACCCGAGGCAATATCATATTCCGTTAAAATAGGCCTCCAAGAAGCCGGCTTCACAGAGAACCTCGAAACCCACGACCCCTCACCAGACCTCCGTCAAGCACTCCGCGATGTAAACCTCGTGGTGTGTACCGGCGGCGTAGGCTACGTCGGCGCCTCCACCTTTACCCGCATCGCTGCCGCAGCCAAGGCATCTCCTTCGTCGCCCTCGCAGTTGTGGATGGTGACGTTTGTGCTGCGCGTCTTCTCGTTTGATGAGGTTGCGGAGAGATTGAGGGCGGAGTTTGGGCTTGTGACGGAGAAGGTTGAGGGGAGGGTGTTTCGTCAGCGGAGGTTTAGTTCGAGGGAGGAGCAGAGGGCTGCGGTGGAGGATGTTAGGAGGAAGGGGCTTGATGAGAGGGGGTTGGAGGGGGATGGGTGGTTTTGGGCGGAGTGTTGGATTACGAGGCCTGAGGGTTGGAGGGGGGATATTGGGGAGTTGGTTGAGGGTCTTTGAGGTTGCGAGAGATGGGAGGTTGGTGACCGGATGCTCGCTTTCGTGTCTTGATGGGTTTAGAGGTTCGAATCGGCGGCTCGATAGTTGAAACGAATTGTAGAGTACGTAAGGTAGATGGGTAAGTCGTGGAGCTGACCTCTTAGACACTTCGGAGTGATCACTAGTCGGCAGACTTAAGTCTCGCAGCTAAGCCATGTCGAAGATGTAGGCACTGCAGAAGTTTGCAGTGGATCAAGACAGGTGGTCCATCACGATGGGTTGTCGAGTGACGAGCGACGTGGCCTGGAAAACTCGTGCTGTTTCCCAGGATTGGACTGAGTTGAGGATCCCATTGATCAATGAATGCAAACTTCAGCGTCTCTCAACTGGCAGAGTTTTCCGACTTAGGTGACTGAAACTCGACTTTGACTCGGAGAGCGCTGGTTTGTCTATCCGTTGGCGTGGAGGCTCGTGACGAGTCAACTTCCATCATGCAATCGTGGCAATCCTTCGAAGCCCAGGTCTGCGTAGAAGGAACGCATTGCTGAGGTACGTAAGATGTTAGCTCTTCAGCACTCAAAACTGGCTTTAAGATCAACGGCAATCGCGAGTTGACTTTGAGGTTTCATGTATTTGTCAAACCTTTTGCTTGGCCTTTTGGCACGCGCACTCTTTGCATCTCTGATGCTGGAGAGTACGCGAGATTCGATGCATTGCGTCGTCTCTAGTCGTTTCCAAGGAAAAGCCACCCCATTTGTCGTGGTTTGCATCAACCATAGATCGATCGTCTCCTGATAAGGTAAGGTCGGTCCTTAACAGCTCTCTGGCAAGTTGACAGCTTTCACTCGGACTCGACTATTTCCTTGTCGATAACGAGGATGGAAAGACTTTGCACCAACGCCAAGGCAGCGACTGTCATACTGGGCTGAGTAGATTTACGCTTAATACTAGCGTACCATAAGGACCACAACCAACCAAAAAGACGAAGTGCACTCGGACCTCGAAAGAACAGGAGATTCTCACGGTTTGTCTCAGCTCGCAATTTCCCTCAACTGGTGAACTGGTGAATGCGCATAGTTGTTAGTTAACATGGTCGACTCGATTTGGGCCCCATCTACCCACCAGCATGTCAAGGTGCACCTCGATACCCGCAGACCAGTCACACCACTCACAACGTAGACCCGCGCCCCCTCGGACACACTTACCGTGGTAGGGTACATTTCTATATGCAAACCGTTACGGAAAAAACCGACGCGTGTGGAAAAGACCGAGTAGCACCGACCGACAGATTATTGATCTGCTTACCAGGGCTGGCACAGACACGTAGGCCATATGGGATCTTCATTGTCATTGGATCAGCATTTCTTTACAACATTCCTTGACGGAACATTATTCAGCAGTAAATCTGTCGACGTGATTCCTACGATAAGATTTGAAGAACGCCTTACCTGAGTTGCATGGGTCAGACCAGAATTGTAGGACGGACTTTTTTTCGGGTGGGTCGAGGCCTCCGAGCCCAAGCCTCCCCCTGTGTTGCTTAAGCCCCTTGTATGTTTATGTTACATGAGGGACCCTTGACAGACTTGCATGCCGTATGCGGGGGGCGCCGTTGATAGTCTCAGAACATTGAAGCTATTGCCAATTGGAGGCCATCTCCGCGGGGCTCGGGGAACGTTCCCCATATTGCTCTGTACTGATTATATCATATCCGTACCTAGGTATGCCTCTTCAGCTGGTGAATACAAAGCAAAGGGACCGGCTTCAGTTGACTGAGGCTGTTCTCGGGGCTTGGTCTGATGAGCACCGCCTTAGGTCTCATGCAAGCTACAGCTGTCAGTGAGACTCGTCGCAGCGCTGACGCTTACCGTCCAGTGAAAAATGGTGTCACCTTTCCATCCCATATTATCGGACACGTCTGCTTCAGAGCTTGTTTCTGGCCCCTAGACGAATCTTGCAGATCGACACTGACATGGCCGAGCTTGGACTTGGCTGGGGAAATACCCCCCTTGAGCTCGTGTCTCAAAATACAAAGCTCTACCTAAATTAAAGCCGTGGAAAAGAGCTCTTTCCATGGCGCAGTTCAGCAGATCGGATGACATCTCGTACCTCGTCGAGTTAAAGTCCAGCATTACATGTTTGTACGCGTGGCCGTCATCGTCCTGGCGGCGTCTTGTGGCCTTTTTGGTGACCTTGCGCTGGGCGCGAACTAATATTCACCCCGAGCTACAAAAGTTCATGACCTGCCTAATGTATGTGGCCGCCAATCAATGACTTCGAGCAAGAACATTCCTAATCGCGTCACTCATCGGGTTTCGGCAGTATGCCCACCAGATTAATAATTATCCAGCATCTTCTACAGCGTGTCGTTAAATTCTTAGTGCCAGAAATGTTTCGATCAGTGCCATCAAACACGCATCGCAGCTCATCGGAGGCTGCGCAGGATATTCCGCTTGACATGCTCCATGACGCAGTTGGCCAAGTTTAGTCAAGTTGAGACGCTGCTGGCGTTGGTAACTAGCGTGGCACACGATGGGTCCTGGGGGTTCAGTGTGGATAAGTATGTCAATGATCCTAGATAGATTGTCCAAGCATGGCAAGTTTTCGGGCCAAGAGTTGGAGACATTGATGCTAGCGAGACACGAGCGCGAAGCCCCTGATTCACTCCACGGGCAATCACTAATTTGTGCCTTCAACAACTGAGAATCTTCGGCGCTTGGTTTACAACACTGATTGATGGGGAGATTTACTAGTTGAACTTACTTTAACATATGACTCTTGAAGACAAAAATAGAGTTGACAGCCAAGGGGATCGTTGTCCAACGACCTGAGCTATCTCCCTAGTCAGGCTTAATCGTAGGAAACGTCAAGCTTCAAGCTCTAGTCGTTAGTTTGTAGAAGGACTTGAAATAACAACGATACCACGTTGCAAGCGTTCGTGTTCTAGGCAGCAGCCAATTTGAGTTTCACATGTTCCAGGCCTAGGTTCCCTGCAGACGTAAAGGCCCGGCGCTAGAAGCACGGAGCTTCGGAGGCTTGGGACTAAACTAACCTACAATTGGCGGCGGCCTTACGCCGTTATTCCGAATCGCAGCACAGACGACCGGCACTCGATGCCGAGTCCAACTTGCCGTTGGAAAATGTGACCTGGGCAGGGATGTCGGTTGTCGAGAGAGATCTGAGACTGGGCCACTTGAATCTCCAGACTCCACGGACCACGGGGCGAGGGCCTAGAGGGTATGTCCATCTCAGGGGAGACGGGGAATAGACTAGGAGTAGGAGGGCATTATCGGCCAGTCAAACTCTTTTGAGAACCCCCGAGAAACGTGACGAGACTGATACTCGGCCTCGTAGGGCTGAAAGAAGCGTTTTACTCAATCTATCGGCGTCGCCGCGTGATCCACGCCGACTAGGCAACTGTTTTTCTCGACCCGGTGGGCTTGATTTGGACAATCTGGAGTCTTCAAAACTGCCTCACCATCACCAGCCCCATATTTCATGAGAGAAAAACTTACGTTTTGTCTGTGTGATTGGTTCTGTCGTAAAAGACTAAAACCTAGCGTCCAAACGCATGTCAATTCTGACGAAGGGGCTGACGTCGCAGGGTCCAGCCAGGGGCACACGGCGGCCGAGGGTCGCGATCATCCGGATTCGACACGTTGGCCTTATATAGTGGACGCCGCCCGAACGCGCCAATCTTGGCAAGTGTATCCCCCTGTCTTAGTTCCTGCGCCCGCACAACCCGATTTCCGAGAGAGCCTCACTCCCAACGGTGTACGGAGTACTGAGTTCAGGATTCGACGGCCTGTCAGTGGCTACCTTGCCCTCTTACCAGTGAATCCTATGCGCCTAGATACGCTCGCATATACTATTACGCACGCTACGCAACCGAAGCCGACAATGTCATTGGATACCTCGATACCGGGTACGGGAGTCTTCTCGGTGGTACCCGCACCCAAGAAACCCAAGCGGACTAGGGCGAGCGCATCAAAGGTCAGGACCGGATGTCTAACATGGTTTGTGACAACACTGATGCCACTGTAGTTTATTAAAGACTGGTTCAACTGACGCCACCTTCCCCATTGACAGCAAGTAAGGCTTCTCCGCCTCTCCCTACAACTATCGACTGTGCTGCTTCATCCTCCGCGTAGACAACTCTAGTTCCTCAGCAGCTAACAAAGATTTCGTTATCAGAGCCCGACATGTAAAGTGCGATGAAGCGAAGCCGTTCTGTAAGCGGTGTAGCAAGGACAAACACAAGTGCGATGGGTATCCGACGTTGCTCCCAAGCAAACGGCCGAGCCCGGCATCATCATGCTCGACCCGCTCGATTCCTCCACTTCGACGGCGCCCCATCAACTCAGTAATGCAGCTATCGCCTCCTGTAGATTGGGACGTCTCCGGCACAACCCTCGAGAGGTTGATGTTCCACCACGTCAACCGATGTACTGTCCCGGATTTCGGAACCGCCACACCTCTCGCCAAGTTATGGAGCAACTACATCCTACCACTGGGCTACTACTCCGACTCGGTAAAGCACGCCATCATTGCACTCGGCGTAGCTCACAGGGGATTCCTCGAGAACCCATACTTTGATGAACAACCTTCCGAATCCGCCCTAGCGTTTAACGATCTAGCCGTGAGGCACTACCGAAAGGCTGTCTCAGAAACGATACAGATCATGGCCGATCCGTCACCCGTCAACATTCGAATCACGCTCATCTGTTGTCTAGTATTCGTTTGTTACGAGATTGTGCGAGGTCAATACGACAAGGCTATCCAGCACTTGAGAGCTGGGTCCAAAGTTCTCGAGTCGCTCCACCAAGCGGCAATATCTAATCAACGCGACCCCTTGTCCCTGTCAGCCTACGACAGACAGCTAGCAGACACGGTCAAGAAACACTTTGGCCAGTTGTGTGACATCACAACCATGTTCACATGCGTCGGCATGGACACCTCAATGCTCATTGAAGACGAGGTTGTCCCCGACCTATCTTACTTCACACAGCCAGAACCCGAAGACGAGCGCAACACACCATTTGAAAACGTATCCGAAGCTCGGCACCGGCTGCACTTTGTCGAATTGACGTTCTCAGACGCCTTTGAAGACAGCTGGTTTTGCGAATCCGATAACTGCTGGCACTCAGGCCCCTCGGCTTGCAATACGCCGGAGCCTCCGCAAGAGGTGCAAGACCAGCAAAAGGCAGCGTGGGATGAGGCAACAAGGCTTTTCGACATTTGGTGTTGTCGCTTCGATCTGCTGCAGGAGAATTTGCCGGAGATTCTGGAGCCGGCGGATCTGAACGAGCTGAAAGCGCTTCGCTTCTCTCGCAAGAGCTGGGAGATTTTCAACGCTCAAGAAGGGCCGTGTGCCATGAAGAATAGCAACATGGCCGAATTGCACGGGCTCGTTGACATGGCCGAGGAGGTTGTGGCCAGCAGGGAGGGACTTCCCCGACCAATGTTTGCTCTCGCGGCAGACATTGTTCCCTCGCTTGCGTACATTTGCGCCTTTTGCGACAATGTTGACCTCGAACGGAGGATCGTCGATGTTCTCCGTGGCATGAAGCGAAGGGAGGGCATGTGGGACAGCCGGGAACTGGCGAATCTGTATGATCTTGTCATCCAGGCCAAGACTGGCAACCAGTGGAAGGACGAATACAACTGGGAAACACTACCAAGCCTTGCGAGAATGATGGCAAATCTGTCTTTGTCTGGTTCGGGTGATCGAGCAGGACCGCCGAGTCCCTTGACTTTGCTTTGAGTGTGCGGCATGAACGGAAGCGTGGAGTTTTGGGGTGATACAAGGAAAGGAGTTTTGATTCGTTCAAGATGGAAACTTTCACTTCATGGTTGCAGTGAGGACGGATGACTCGACTTAGTTTTCGACTCTATAGTCCGACAGCACTGGTCTGATGTTTCAGTGAGAACATCATTTCGTAGAAATGAGATCAAGTCGTCAAGGACAGAGTTTTAGAGCCTAGGGGAGAATCGAACCCAGTACCGTGTACGAAAGAAATCGAACACTAAACATTGAAATGTAGCTACTAAGTATGCAAAACAAGAGGGACCAAAGTATGTACAAGAAGGGTATGAACTTTTGAAAAAGTGTCCATGGTTTTCATCCAGCCACATCGCATCTGCCCGCGCAGCGGCAGAGATTGGAGGTCGTTCAAATCATGCTCTGTGATTCGTCAAACATCATTCATGGCCTCCCAGCACGACTCGCCACCCACCACTTCGGAGGGTGTTTAGCGGTAACTAATTGAGGCGTCTCATTTCCGTGGATCATGAGGTGCAGCTCAGAGTTCCGTACTGGTTAGACACGGGCGTAGTATCTGGTACGAAAATATCGTTAGAAGGTTGTCGAGACCCATCTAAGGGGAAGAAAAACAGCCACTGACCAAGCTCGATTTGGCTCTCGGAGCCGTTGCAAGAGCAGCTCAACCAGACTCGGGTGGTGCCGAAAATCGGCCCATAGACCGGATCCTCGATGCGATAGACATAACAGTCGCTGCAAGAATCACCCAAGTGGCCCTTGCCGCTGTACTACACCAAGAGAGTCAGCAACAGAAAGCACATGAGGTTGAATCGACAGTTCGCATACCTGAATCTTGGTGCCCGTATAGGTGAAGCATTGGTTGAGGTCGAGGGAAGTCGACTTAACCGTGCCCTTGCCGTCACCGGCGTTGCAGTTCGCCGTCAGAACCTGGGTTGCGGGGTCGATATGTTCGTCCGTGCAACTCTTGCTAAAGTCCCCTGCAGCGACTAGGGACGCTAGCATGGCAACGGCGATGGAGAAGGTCTTCATGGTGTGGGTATTGGTTCTGAGATGACTGATCTTGTGAGACGATTGTATCAAGGCTGGATATTGCTGCTGCAAGACTTGTTGTTCAGAAAGTCAGAAATGGACTTTGAAAGAGAGGCACATCCATTCTTTAATAGCCAGATGCGAATATCGGAGAATAAGTTGTTTTGCCGGGTGTTTTTTACTTCCGCATCATAGTTCCGGCCGACGGAGTTTGCAGCGTCGTATGCTTCGCTGCTTTCGGTTTGCCGTTGCAACCGCGGAATGCGTTCATTTGACCATAAGAACGTGACATCCAATACACCCAGTACCCAACGGGCAGGTGCGGAGCATCACTTTCCATGTTTGTGAATCTTAAAATCCAATCAGGGAGGTGAACGGCCCGGACTGCAACGGCGGCTATCTGCGAAAGCTTTACCAGAACTTTTGTCTTCCAACGAAGCGGACCCGACCAACCCCCCGATGAGGATGGAGCCGGCCGAGGGGCGGTGACAAGACATATCTGTTTGCCGTGTGATTATAACTCAACCCATAAGCAGGATGTCTGCCTCCCTTCTCGAGCGAACCAACGGTGAGGCACGCCCACCATGTAAGGTTACAATTAAGGCTTTGTCACAGCGGGACATTATGCAAGGGTTCCAAGATACCTGCATGCAGTGGATCTCTAACATCCTGTCTAGACGCAGATCCTGACATGAAATCTCCTCACTTCGATCGTCCCGCGCGGTACTTGACGCTAGCCTTGATTCACTCACGTGTTGAGTGGACGGGCAGATCTTTCCGATCACGGGGCGTGCGAGTCTCATTCAAAGTCATAAGCGGAAAGGCTTTATGGGTATCTACGCGGAGTGAAGGGTTCGGGCATGGAGTTGCTGACTTGAGAATCTGAGTACCATCACTTGCCAGTGCTCATGCTGAGAAACCGAGGTCACATTCTTTGGAGGTGAATTCTCAGGACTCACAACAGGTAACAGATATTTCTTGCATGGCAAACATCTGTTCATTCACAAACGGCGAGAAACGACAATAATGGAAGGTGAGTGCCAAGAGGGGACAATGAGAATAAGTACTTGATCGTGACACCGACCGGCAAGAGGTTTCGGCAGGCCTGATTGCCTCCCTTGCATCCTGTCCCCACCCCCACCTCCCGAGAAACCGGGTGATCCTCCATGCTTGCCACCAAACAAACCCGGATAGTGGTTATCATATCATAGGTCTAGGCCATGTTCATAGGAACTAGCGCGTCAAACGTCCCTGGCTCTCGACCAAATAGCTGAAACGGTTGGCTGTAAAATATCTTACATGTGATTAGACTCTCGCGAACCATTGCTGATTTGTGACGGCAGAGATGTTAGAAATTTGTCGGAAACCCAATGAAAAGACAACATGAGCAAGCACTCCATGATCATGCGAGAGATATGGAACGACTAGAAGCAAAAGGCCCGATGAATTGTACGGTGAGAATACCACATCGGTGAACTTATGCGCCAGATCACCCACCTAGGACACCAACGAGGTGACATGTCTGGTCTTTGATGGTCGAAATCTTCTGGCCACTAATGGTGTAAAGACCGTTCAATAAGGCAGGTGATTGATCGAGGTACTTAAGGCACCAAGGTATGCTCGTAACAAACGATGGCCCGATAAACCATGTTGGTTCGGGAACAAGCTAAGTAGTCTGGTTTGTTTGGTGATGTATTTTGCTGAAAGTGGCGACATGCAGTGGTGTGGCATATGCACCTTGATGCATGCCCCTTTTTCTCAGGCACGCAAATCTCCTTTCGAACTACTTTCATTGGTCATCGGAGAGAACAGACAGGTAATTGTCGACATCGAACGAGGATTACACCCGAATCCAGATTTACCGGACAGTCTATGCAGCAAGGAGATGGTCTTAAGAGCTTAATCGGTGGCGGCAAGCAATCTTAACGAAACAAGTTGCTGAACTAAGCAGGGTAGAAATATTGCTTGAAAGATGTTTTGGTAGATAGGATTATTGAGAAAGTTGTTGACAATTCTGGCCTCTCGTATTTGACTGCATCTGCTCTCTGTAAATGTCCTGACTAGCTTCCGCATATTCAACAATCCGGCCAAGGGTGACTTTAACCCCTGTTTTGAATCTATAATAGCTTGAAAAGAGAACCTAGGTGGTTCGCGACCCTGGCAGTCTAGCGGACCCCGTTCTATACAAAGAGAAGGAGTAAGCGAGTAGAACATCGTGGTTGGCGTACTGAAAGAGAAGGCTTGGGGTATGCCGATTTGAAAAGAAATGACCCAAACCATGATCACTCACCCAATTTTCGTTCAAGGGCGTTCGCCGCAGGTTCTTCTGCATTGGGAAATGGCATGTCCGTCGTAAATGCCAAGATCATCCATGCATTGCTGAACGCACTAACGAGGCTTGTTAGTCCATCTCAATGTATTCTCAACCATAATACACTTACAGCTGAAAGCTGACGCTTCTCCGCTTCGATAGAGCTCGCCGCAGAGGCCACGGCCATGATGGCGGTCAGGAACGCGACGACGGAGAAACGCATTTTGAGACTTGAAGGAGGTTTTTTTTTTTGGCTTGAAGAGAGTGGTCTAATCAGACTCGAAGCAGTTCAAGTTGACATGGATGGACCGGTGTGATTTATGAGATTGAGTTGTAATCAAGTAATCAGTCTGGTGGGTGCTTAGGCTTTATAGCCCTCTGATATCAATAACATTGGATAGAGCATGACGTTCTCGGCAAATCATTTTCACTTCCTACTACAGCAGAGATAATAGTGAGACTCACTAGTCATCTTGGCGGGGAGACAGCTTGCCGACAACTACCCTATGAGACTTGCAGTTCAGGATGTAAGGGTAAGAGTAGAATCCTATAGGATCTGCCAAGCTATGGAAAGTAAGCGTGGCAACGTTCTCAGTTTCCTATCCGGGACTCAATCGGCAAAATGACAAGACAACCTGAATCAAAGTCTCGTTGCCTTCCTTTCATGAACTAGGCGCGGTGCACTTATTGTGCAAGACTAGCATCCGTAAATCCGGAAACGAACTAGTACGCGATAGTTTCACTGTGTTGCTGTGGCACAGCGCTGTGATCCCGGGGCTGGCTGCAGAGCACACCTGTCATTGATACTCTCGCCTCTTCATACCTTCTCTTGTAGTCTTAGACCTCATCTGAGCCCTGACGAATTTGATAGACAACAATTTCATGTCTGATGGCTGCTCAGCAAAAATTTTCCTGGGACTCTAATATGAAATATGGCAGATCTAAATGTGACCTTCAGCCAAACTCATCTGGGCATGCCACGAATTGTGGATGTTATTGGCCAGCTGGGACTTGATCAGTCTAGGGTTCCAGAGTTAAGTTTAATCCAAAGAACTCCATGCGCTGCATCTTGTGAATCATACTTAAGTATCGACCTACATCGACCATTGATTTTAATGGCAGCCTCGATAGAATTTGGAATGACTCAGGTATTCCATAGCTAGACCATGACTCTCATAAAATAGGGAAATGCATGCCTGAAAGCTCCCTGTTATACTGAACGTAGAAATCACTCGGATCTAGGTATGCGATCTAATACCCCGAAAACCCCATAATAATAAGGATTAAAGATCCGTTCGGACTAAACAGTACATGGGCAGCGACTGACTCATCCTCCCATGCTCGACGAGTTGATCTATCAAGACTTCCCAGGAATAAGGTTATGAGCTTTCTGTTACACGAGTCAAAAATACCAAGTCCTGAGACTTCGAACGCGTCGAGTATTTCCACTGCATGTTCTCATGGCCTTTAGACCAGCCGATGAACTGGGCCTTATTGTAAGCCAAGATGGGTGAAAAGTCTCAATGCTCTAGCTTCACTATATTTTCAGGCTTTTGAGCGTACACGCAACTTTATTGCATACTTTTTTCGGGGGAGTGCGCTGGGATTTGGTACGTTATTTTCGCTTCATCGCCGCATGGGGACTCAGCGGACAAGCTCCCATTCTGAAGGGCAATGAATAAGTAGTTGCCACGTGGGAAGAGAGTTTTGGGCAAAAGTCTGTTCTATCACCGTGTCACGACATTCTGTACACCACACAAAGAGACCTGCGCTTCCCATGGATCGAGTCATCCCCGACTCTGTACCGAGCCGGGGAACCAAACCGTGTGTGCCATTGCGGAGTTGAACACGCCGCTCCATGTCCCGTGGCACTCTGCCGTCTCTTTATGCTCTGGAACGACGGCTACAAACCTTGTCCGAGCTCACGATAGCGTAGCTCGCGTGGGCAGTAATTTGCTCTCGCAATTCTTTAGCTAGCAGACAGTCTGACTCAGTGCAGCGGACTTGACGATGACCATCGTCCGTTTTGAGTTTGGCTTCGCACCGACAACTGCACCGCCCAAATGTCTCATCCGCATGCGCCGCCTCCCCGGCAGGCCTGGCTTGTTCCGATCCACATAGCTTCTCGTTTCGCTCGATCTAGACTGCAACCGGTTGTAGCGACAATTAGTGGCCTCATAAAGAGGGTGGAGCCCCCATCCTTCAAACACACGCAATGATCTCGTAATCATGGCTGGGCGTTGGTTCTGGACTTTTTTCCATCACATTCATGATCACGCCAGGTGCACGAAACGAGTTGCCTCAACCCTTAGATGACACGCAGCCATGAGCTGGACCAGACTGCGCATCGCGGTTTGGCTAGCATGCCTCGTCGTGGATGTGACAGCAGTATCGACGTCCATACAACTGACCACCATATCAAATGCGACTTCCCCCGGGGTAACATCACCAGCCCCCCTTGACCCGGCAGCAGCCGCGATGGAGCAGATGGCAGCCTCATTATCCCCATGCGCAGTAAGACCCCACTGATCTACTATTCTAAGTGCACGTTGACTCAGGGTATCGTAGTTGAATTGCACAACGAAAGAGGTTGCAAAGTCATCTTGCAACGCGACTGACTTTGCGTGTATTTGCACAAATCAATTGCTCAACGGAAATATTGGCGCATGTTTGGCACAGAATTGCACTGTGACTGAGTCTCTACGTATGACATCACTCGTTTGGAAGCGGTCTTCTTTTGAAGCTCATCTCTTTGTATGCAAGGCACTGCGGATACATTATGCTGACGGGCGCTCAACTACCAGAAGCACAGAAGTACTCGAAAACATCTTGCAGAGTACCCGTTCGTCGTAATACGGATCAAGGTCCCATCACTTGGACCCTCTTCTCTATTGCGGTGGTGGCTCTAGCTGCTCGACTGATCTCTAAAATCCCTTCTCTAAATCCTGCATTTTCGTTCGGCTGGGATGATTGGTTAATCCTTGCATCCACCATTGCGTTGATACCAGCAGACATCGGATCGCAAATTTGTGGGTTCACGGGCCGGCATCCTTATTCAAGAAGTATGGCTGACCATATCCGTAGTGATCGGCATAGGTCTTGGGCAAGACATATGGATGGTATCTCCAGACAACATCACCCAGATACTCTTGGTAAGTATGACTCCAAAACCCCCTGCTTCCAATTAGTGGGTACTGATAGCACACTGACACAATGTCAAGCTCTTCTTTGTCGAAGAGCTTCTCTACTCATTCGTTGTAGCTGTCACCAAGTTGTCAATCCTCATCTTCTACCTGCGTCTCTTCGCTGAGACTTGGTTCCGGGTCGTTTGCTATGTCATGCTAGGGGTTACAACGGTCTACGGCATCGGGCAGATATTAGGTATCGTCTTCGTATGCTCACCAGTCAGTTACAATTGGACGCAGTGGGATGGTGAGCATCAAGGAAAGGTCTGTGCCCAGAATGTCCTCGACCTGGAATATTGCCATTTGATTCGGATCATTGGCTGACGTTGATACTAATTTTCAGTGCGGAAACGTCAGTGTCATGGCCTTCATCAATGGAGGAGTGAATATCGTCATCGACTTCATTTTGTTCATTCTGCCAGTTACTCAATTGTAAGACGATGTCAGAGACCGTTCAGTACTTGATCACTGATCAAAGCATCTAGCATCACTGTCTCATGGACCCTCAAGAAAAAGATCGGCGTGAGCCTCATATTTCTAGTTGGGTTATCGTAAGTACCGCTATAAATATCATAGCATGTCCTCTAGCGGCTACTGACTGCCCCATAGGGTGACAGCCTCGAGTGGGATCAGGCTGGCTACATTGGCGAAGTTCGGCGGAACGCAGAATCCGACTTGTGAGGGAGGTCTCATAGACTTTTGGAGACCATAGCTGACTCTGCATACAGACGATTACAAAGAACTATCGATTTGGTCGTTGGTCGAAATGCACACGAGTGTCATTTGTGCGTGTATGCCAGGGATGACATCTTTTATCCGACGCGTGTCTCCTCGGATGTATCGCATGAAGCAGTATACGCCTCAATTGCCGGACAGGAATCAGCCACGAACCGGGCGTTCAGTCGCTCGCCGGATTCAAGACACTTTGGCACGCATCACTACAATCAGGATAACCGGCAATCGCTCGAGCTGGGAGAGCTCACAAGCAACCGGAAAGAGCAGCGGCACGGAGAGCTCGACAACTAGCGACCCAAGACCAAACGCGTATAAAGACTACCTGACTTACGCACCTTATGCGGATGGTCAGGAAGGGGGGAATGAGATGAACACGTTGAGAAGTAGAGAGGTTACATAAACTTATTGCAATGGCACCGGAAGCACAGTAGAAATTTATTACTATTTTCAGACTCCGTCTCCGACTTGCAGCTCAGATGATCATCTTGAATCATTGATGCTACCAAGCTTCGCCAGTCAGGTTGCAATCCCATCGTACGTCCAGTTGAACTTCATCCTCTGCATGATAATCTCAGGCGAAACTTTAGCTGCCGCCACTCTTGAGTTCAGCTGAACCTGGGATGCGCGGCTACACCTGGCTTGGTCCCATTGCTTCAGCTTACCGGGCAAATCCTCTTTTCTGAAGTCGGGGTGAACTAGAACTCTGAGTGCTTCAGCATCTTCCAAAGCTTGGTTGGCTCCTTGTCCTTGATACGGCACCATAGGGTGGGCTGCATCGCCAATCAAAATAATTGAATCTTTCGTGAAGGTATTCAAAGGGTCTGCATCACGGAGTTGATAGAGTTTGACGTCAGACAATGTTCTTGTGATGTTGTGGTCAGCTTAACGTTCCTTCATCTCGAAATGTGGTAGGGTAGCTCACTTCATGAGTTGTAGAAGCCACGATGGAAAGTCCTTGAAAGTCTCAAGCATTTCGGGTACATCGCCATCTTTAGTCCAAGACTCTTCGGTCTCTTGCTGGAGCATACTGTCTGGGACAGCGCAAGCAAAGTTCATGATTTCCAGATCGCGACAGGGGTATACAACGACGTTTCGGTTCGACCCGTCCGCTGCAATAAAGGAAGACAGAAAAACGCCATTTTCATATCTTAGCAGATCCGGAATTTCTCCGAGAATATCCGACATTCTTGAACGACTAATGGTAAACCTGTACAAAGAAAGGTTCGCGGGAGTTGACTCGGCATAACACGGACCAGCGACAGTTCGACGGACTTTCGAATGAATGCCGTCCGCACCTGGATAGGCTTAAGGTTCAGTTGTCTTAGTTTAGCACAGCGACTAGACGTACCAATGATCAGATCCGCCTTGATCTCGGACCCATCTTCAAAGATTACAGCTCGATCTTGAGAGTCAACTTCCACAACGCGAGAGTTGTAAACAATCTTGGCAGGGTAGCCAGATAGACCCAGATCAGGGCTTGTTGCCGCTCTTAGCAAAGCATCTTTGAGATCCTGCCGATGGACCATCCACCACTCGGAACCGAAGCCTCGGAGGCAGTCGATTCTTGATTCTTTAATCAAAATGCCGTTTTGGTCATAACTCCTGAAGCCACTAGACACAACGGCTTTCAGGGACTCTTTAGTAAGTCCAAGTCTGGCAGCCATCTTCGAGCCATTTGGACCTAGTCCGACAGCAGCACCACTTTCTCTCGCTTCTGGATCGTTCCGCTCGTATATGGTGACATCATGGGCCTCTCGTAAGACCCGTGCTGCGGCAAGTCCGGCTATGCCACCGCCGATGATGGCAACTTGAAGGGCTGTGGAACTTGTCATCTTGATGCCCAGGCAGTAGAGCTTTTCTCTCTGCAGTCGAAGAATCGAAGTCAGTTCTTTTCAAAGTAAAGCAATCAAAGTAGAAGATGTGTGATAATAGTCTGAAATTTGACTCGGTTGCGTCTTGCTCTCACGTTGGCTGGCGTGATGCATCGTTTGGCTTTGTAGATGGCCACAGCTTCTTGAATCGAAACTGACATAGCTAGTATGTATTTCTGGAAGAATTATGACTCGTCTCCCGCTTCTACCGCCCGGCAATGATTAAACCTTCGTGTAATGCCCGTCGCTCTCGGACGACAGGTGGGTCTCGAGAATACCCGGCTTTCGGAAACCGGAATCCGGAAAACCTAACGGTGTCTGTGGGTCTCAACTTTCCGTGCGACCAGGAGCTTGGCATTGCTCAAGTTTCGAGACTTGCTCTGTCGGATGTCGGCCGCTCTGTGAAAATGGAAAGCTGGCTTTCAGGGTCGATGAAGCAACTTGAGAAGGGATGTGTGTGCTAAGACCCCACAAGCCCAATCCAATCAGGGGCTACTGATCGCTAATTTTCTTAGCAATCGGTTGAGCACGATGAGTTGTGGGCACTTGAGGGGCGTACTCTTTTTTGTTTCGAGATTAAGTCATGTCGTCAATGAATAGTGATGAAAACAGGCAGTCCTGTCCGATATAATATACGAGGAACACTACAACAGAAACTTGGATCAAATCTTTCGTTGACTTTGAAGTGACTGAATCACAGTATTACTGCAGCAACTTTCTAGCCATGTTCTCGACTGTTTGGGCATGGGTTCTTCTTTGCGGAGTTGCCGCTCTTCTGGCGTATCGACGATCAGTCTCTAAACTGCCTGGAATCCCTTTGGTTGGATTCGAAGTCAAGGACCCCAAACAACGAAAGGGTCAATACACCTTCAATGCTCCCGGTATTGTGCAGGTAGGATATGAGAAGGTACGCAGCTTCATACTTTGGGGTAGATATTCTGGACTGAACAATTTCTTTAGTTCAAAGACAGAATCTTTGGCGTGGACACAGCAGATGGTACGAGCATTTCCATGTTCCCAACACACTCCTCGATTAGATGTGCTGACACATCAGGTCAGGGGTCAAACTTATTTTCCCGCATCAATATGTGGACGAGATCTCGAAAGAGCCCGGACTTAGCTTCCAAAACTCCCTTGACGAGGTAAGATCGGGAGAGGAACTAAAGCCAAATTTGCCATGCTAAAAAAAGCTTAGGATTTATTGATCGACTACACGTACATGGGCGGACTGAAGCAGTTTGCATTGTCTACTTTCAAGCGGGAAATCACACCTCATCTTCGTCAGTTTCCCCTTCAAGACGTTTCCATTGCAGGACTAACCTTCGCTTTTCCAGCCACGTTCATCCCTGACTTCATTTCACTTATTGACGGTTATATCCCCAACGCACTCACTGAATCCGAAGGCAAGTTACGAATACATTCTCTCCAACCAGCTTGTCTATTTACCTAACGTAATTACCGATAGAATGGACTTCGGTCAACATCTATCCGAAAATGCTCCGTATGCTTGGCATCCTAACCGCCAGAGTCATGATAGATGGTGATGCCCCCCACAACGAGACTTGGGTCACTCTGACCACCGAGTACTTACATGCTGGGGTGAGACACGCGCATGCCTTGAAGTTCTGGCCCCCGATGCTGAGGCCGCTCGTTCATCGATTTGTGTCAGGGTACGCCGAGGTTGAGAGGCAACTCAGCCTCGGAAGGTCGATAGTTGTCAACGCTATCCGCAAAATTGATGAGCGAGAGAAGACCGGAGTACCAGAGCCTCAGCCAACGAGTGTGCTTTACCATATGTCTCGTAAGGCACCAGGTACTTCTTCCGCGGTCATTGACATGCATCTCAAGGAGCAAATGAATCTTGCTGTCGGAGGAATACACACCACCTCTGCCGTGCTCACCCAAACGCTATTTGAACTTTCGGCACATCCAGAGTATATACCAGAGTTGAGGAAAGAGGTGATTGATACTTTGGTCAAATTCGATGGGGCGTTTTCGAAAGCTGCTTTGTGGGATATGCACAAGTTGGACAGTTTCATTCGGGAGACTCATCGCCTGAACTCGCCAAACCTGAGTATGTCGCCCATTAATTTTGAGCCGTGTGTGGAACTAATGATATCTTAGCAACTCTACAGAGACGCGCTATCCAGGATGTCACCCTCTCCGACGGCACCTTCATCCCGAGTGGAACAAAGCTCGAGCTCCCCACGTTCGCCATCCACCGTGATAGCGAATTCTTCGATGACGCTACTGAATTCGACGGTTACAGATTCTTGAAGTTGCGCCAGGGAGATGACAAAGATGGCGGAAAGCATCACTACGTCAGCGCTCGTAGGGACATGTTGGGCTGGGGTTTAGGCAAGACGGCGTGTCCTGGGCGATTCTTAGCTGATATCGAGATCAAGCTGATTGTCGCATTCATCCTGATGAACTACGATATCAAGAACCCGGACGGCCAAGGCAGACATGCGCATGTTCATTTCGAGAATCAGGTATGAAGTCTCATCCAAGACCACATCAGCAATAACTGACATTCAAGCAGGTTTTCCCTGATCCGGTCAACCCGGTACTAATGAAGAAGATTTCGCGCGAGGACATTGACGAAAATGGTCATGTTAGACAGTAGACCAGGGAACTGCACGTGAAATTGTCGGAGCAGCACTAAAGGATTCACACTCTTTGACATGGGATATTGTAGTTGCTTTCTGTCTCAGAAAGTAGAAAGTCAGCAATCGGCAGACACAGCTTTTCTTATTTCATGTATGCCTCAACTTTGAGTACTCTAACCTGTAGATCAAAAGTTACTTATGGACCCCTTCCCGGTGGTCATTGTCTTGCCCTGGTCCCCAATGGAGCTGTGCTAGGTAATCACTGTCTATTCCGCTTGAGATCAACATCTGGGTGCGACATGGCCCGGAAAAGTTCTATTGTGATTCATCCCACCGGCATCGGTGGCCGAACTCCACGCGCCCGAGATGCCCATCGATAGGGTCCACTCGGATCAAAACCATTCCAATCAATGACCGCTTCACTTAGCTGGAGATCTCCGTCCGAAGTCCGTCCGGGTGCTAAAGTGTTGGTGAACAACCGGTACTGCCTTCCGGCAAGACTGCCGTACTCGCTCATCCTTTTGCCATCCTTCCGCCTTGTTCACACCCTTTTCGGACGCAATATTCCGAACTGGAAACAACCGCCTCGATTCATGGTCAGCACTGTTATGATGAACTTGATTTGCTGCATAGTATAGTATGGCCTTTCAGATCGGGACGATTGACGATGCTGCGCCGAGAAACCGTGCCGTAAGTGGTCCCACCTTTTCGCCATTGAAGCACCGGATACTAACCTAGGCCTAGTGTGACTTTTGCTTCGAAAAGAAGGTAAGCAATCACTGTGCCTGTATCAAAATAGGCTACTTCAAATCTACATGTAGTACTAACCTCGTTGAAAAGATCAAGTGCGATAGAGATGATCCTTGTGCCAATTGTCTAGCGGCCTCCGTAGACTGTTTGCGCATACGACCCAAGAGACGAATGAGACATGCAGCTTATGCGAGGTGTGTTTTCGATCTTCTAATAGGCCATGGAGAATCTGAATTCGATAAATAAACCACGACACCAATTGACACATGAAACTGGTGTAGAAATAATTCGTCTGCCATCATATCAACTCGGGGGAACCCTCCGTCGCCAAAATCAACGCCTCACAGCTCACACGCTGCTCCCCAACAATTACAAGCCAACTCTTCAGTTGTTGAACAACGGTCAGCACCAAGGATTCATGATGAGGGAAACGTGCCAGGGGAAACTCCTGCTTCTCAGGACAGCAAGCAAAAGTCAACCTGTTCCTCCACTACTGAAACGGGACCAGCTGCTGCACAGGCTCATAGTCATATTGGATCGGAGCTGGAGTCACGCCTAGGACTAGATGCAGGAAAACGAGAAGTCCTCAGAGCAGCTCTGGCGTTTGCAAACCAGGCGTCCCAGCAACCAAGCGTCGTTGCGTACGAAGAGGATGTCTCAGAAGCATTTGATATCTTCAGCGAAACAGCTTATCCAACAGCCGAGAGTCTTTATCTGATACTTTCAAGTCAGCAACCTCATGTTCTTGTGTCCTGTCGAATAGTGCTAATGGAAATCCAGGTCCTCGAAAAAGTGTCGGCCAGTCTTTTACAATGGACATCGGATCTGTCATCTCTGAAGAAACACTAGAGCGCCAAGCCCTTGAACTGATCGAAAAGTCTGTCAATGGTGCAACACGTATTCATTACATAGTAACCGTCAACTTCTTTGTCTGGATGTATCTGGGAGCCTCCAACTATCATACGACAGGCTCTGTTATGGCACAACATATCCTGAAGAGGCGACAGCAGTATGAGAAGAACTTGCAGGCAGCCTTATGCCGCATAGGTGTTCTGGACCAGCCAAGCTTGCCGCTGCTTCAAGCACTACTTTCCGGTGTAAGCACGGCGCGACTCGTTCTGTTGAGCCCTCAAACTGATCCCTTCAGGCCATGTTTATGCTCCTCTCGGGGAAATTGGAGATGTGTTGGCAGTTGAGTGCGTCAGCATCTAGAGTATGCATGGCATTGGGCGGACCTCGCCGAATCAGCTCTCACACCATGGCTGCTCATGAGCTGCGAGAATCTCGGTATACTTTATCGATCTGCTACATGTTTGACAGAGCGCTGGCTCTGAGCATGAACCGCTGGCTCTCTCTGCCTGAATTCGACATGAACCCCGCAGAACTCGTGCCACCTGACACGAAGAAGCCGTACACTTCACTTATTCAAGTCTTTCTGCAATTGGCCGAGGTTCAATCTGACATTGTCCACCACACAAAGACCAAGAACATGAAGGCAAGGGAAGATGTTGAAACAGTCCAAGCATTGCAAGGAAAGATGTGGAAGATTAAAGAAACGATTAAAGAGGTGGGGGTAACCGAGCATAAGAGACCGCGGAGAACTTTTACTGACTGAGGATAGTGTCAAAAGCAGCCTTTGCATACCGAAGAGAAGTATCTTCAAGCCGAGTGGATGGGCGTAGATTTCGTCTATCATTCCGTTATGACATCTGTTGTTAAGCTTCACCCGTACCTGATGGATGATGCTGGTTTACATCAGCAATTGCTCGGCTACGCTCGCACATCGCTTAGTTCACTATCAGAGATGCTGCGCATCGCTAAAACATTGGTCGATTTTCACCTGTTTCGAGTTTCAGTTTCTTGGTAAGCCAATCTTCTGAGTTTCCTTCGAAAACATGTTGTGGTCACAAACTGACTGCCCAGGCTTATTTTGTTGTATCCTGTTTACCCCTTTTTCGTCATTTTCACCCACACGGTGAATACCTCGAGTCTTCAAGACTACGGCTTGATAACTCAGGTAACAACAAGTCTCCAAGAATTTGCTGGTCATAATCCAGCCCTCATGGGCGTTCAAAAGTTATTCGAAGAGTTCGTTAAACTCTGTAAGCCTATCTTTGAGGTGAACAGGTCAATCGATGCCACATCTCCGGCCCTCCTAGAAGCAGGAAATGTGCCACCACGAAAGATTACACCGCAAACGCATCACGACCAGGTTCCTCAAGGACTCTCGGGCCCTCCTGAGATAGGGTCTTTCACGTCATTGGTACAGGATGCACTTTCCATCCCGGAAGCTGGGGATCATGTAGTCAGCGGGATCACATTCCCGGATTTGAGCACTCTGGAAGAAAACGAGTTGCTAGCAGAGTTATACAGCACACATCCATCGATAGGCTGGATAGATGGCAATTGGTCCATATCGTAAACATGTAAAGCTAGCATTGTAAAGACTATGGTCAATCAAGAAACATTCCTCCCGAAACATTCAGGCTAGCACCATTGATCCAGCTAGCTCTCTCCTCTGCCAGGAATGCGACTGCGAAAGCGACATCTTCAGGCAACCCAATCCATCCATCCACCGGGGTCCTTGCATCGAATATTTGCGTCAAGAAAGCGCCGCCAGTTCTCTGCAGTTCGCCAAGGAATTGTGGCGATTTGATAATGCCAGGAGATACCGCATTCACGGTACATCCGTAAGTAGGCGGCAACTCCTTCGCCAGACAACGGGTAAAAGTCGCAATCGCACCCTTGCTGGTGGCGTACGCCAATTGCTGCACCTCAGGGTCTGTCGATACGGCAGAAGTGATGTTGATGATCCTGCCGCCGCCACCCTCCGATTTGGGTGGGAGATGCGGTAATGCTGCTTGACACACCAGAAAGGGCCCGCGGACGTTGGTGGCCATGGACGCATCCCACAAGTCAACTGTTGTGTCCTCCACTTTAGCCAGTGTTGCTTTGGCTGCGTTATTGACGACGATGTCAATCTTCCCAAATTTGTCGACGGCGACTTGGACAAGATGAAAGGGACCGCTTGTGGTCGATAGGTCTGCTTCAACGGCAATCCACGGGTTGCTCAGGCTTTCCCCGAGATCGTTCGCAGCGTGTTCCAACTCAGGCCAACCATAGTTGATTACCACCGAAGCTCCTCGAGCCGATAGTTCTCTGACAACAGCAGCCCCGATGCCGGATGAAGAGCCCGTCACTAGGGCTACCTTTCCTGCTAGCGCATTGGGCACGGCGTCTTTCGGTGGGTTGATTCTCTTGCGACTCGCAATAGCTTCCATGGTTGAATTCTCTGAGATCTAATTTTCCGATTGTGTCAAGCTGAAATTCTTCGAAGTGATGGAGACTATCTATTCACAACCTGTAGAAATAGACGAGATAACATGAGAGCTTTCTCAGCGTAAGTGTAGTAGACGTCTAGTTCTCGAGTGGGCCGCAGCATTCGGCACTGCTTCAAGTCGGACCACGTTCACGGCCGGAAGTCGTGCGGCGTTCAAAGATGCAAACATCCGAAACCTACAGTCGCTGCGTAATCATATCTCAAAGTTAATTATTCTCCGCCTGACTAGGTACTTAGGCACTTATGTTGACGTCGACGAATTATGTGGAAACTTGGGTGGTTCATAGTTCGGATTTCGGCCGGAAATCATTCTGTCCGGCTTCCGGTCTTCCGGCCGGTGCGACCGTTTTGCTTTGCATTTCATCCAACAACGATGACAAGGAAGAAAGGTGACGCATGAGTCCGGGATGCCACCGTACTAGCTGAAGACTCAACTACCACTTGGCCGATCGATACTCACCAGAAAAGAGAACGTCGGTGATCGCCTTGGCTTCACTTAAGGGGTCGAATGACATCCTCGTGTCAAGTTGAAACGTGAACTTTTGCGGCAGCACATTGAAGAACCCCTTTACCAAGATGCCGACGCCTTTCCAAAGCCTGGCTGTAGCAGGAACTCGCCCAGATGCTGATGGTGTCACGGGCTTGGCCGTGTTCGCGACCGATTCATCAGGTGAGTCTTCGTGCAACATGATACTTTCCGAGGATCCAGGCTTTCAGGGCCAATCGAAGTGAGGAGACTACTAACGATCGTCAAGGGAACCAACTCATCGAGGAGTATTTTGGTCGAAGCAGCACTATCAAGTCCGACAAAATCGGAAAGGACAGTGTGTTCTGGATCTACTCGATCACGAAAACAATTACAGCAATTGCTGCTTTGCAGTGCGTTGAACGAGGCCAGATCAAACTAGACGATGAGGTTTACGATGTTCTTCCCGAACTCAAGGATTTTGAAGTCCTGGGCCATGACCAATCGGGAAACGTGACACTTCACCCGCACAAGGAGAAAATCACTCTTCGTCATCTACTTTCTCACACCAGTGGCGTTGGTGTGGACGTCTTTGACCCGAGACTTCAGGCCTGGCGAATGTCTCGTGGAGAACATCCGCAAGCATTTTCGGGAGACTCAAAGAAGGCATACACTATCCCTCTCCTGTTCGAGCCAGGCCATGGCTGGGCTTATGGAGGAGGTGTTGAGTGGGCCGGGATCCTAGTCGAGAGACTGAATAAGATGAAGCTCGGCGAGTACATGAAGACCAACATCTTCGAGCCTCTGGGGATGAACAGTACAACATTCCATCCTGATCGAGATACTGCAATCAAGGAGAGGCTGGTCGAGACAAGTACGAGAATCTCGGATGGCACACTCGTGCCCATGGAAGGCCCTTATCCCGCTGTCACCGAGGACGACAGTGGAGCTATGGGTCTCGTCTCGAGTGTACCGGACCTCGCCAAGTTGACAAACGATCTTCTTCAAACTAAGCCGACGCTTCTCAGCGAAGAGTCTTTGAAGGAGTTGTTCTCGCCACAGTTCAGCGCCGACTCGTCATCTGCCGGGATGCTCGCTTATGGTGCAGTAAGTTTGTCATATGAGAACTCCTTCGAAATAAGGATACTAACAGATTCAAAGATGATGTACGGCCGTCTGATTGGAGAGGGATATGATCCTTCAAAGGTTGGTCAAGCTCCAGGAGCGTACTTCATCAAGGAGGACACCAGGATCCTGCCTGGCGGGACACTCGTCATGACAGGAATTCCGAACCTGGTCTGGTTTGTGAACCGCGCGAAGGGCATAGGCGGCTTCTATGCGAGCGCTATCATGCCGCCCGATGACGCTAAGAGCACAGAGTTGATACAAGAGTTTCTGAAGGAAGTTTTCATCGGCAAATGAGGGCCAATATCAGTTCGTTCCGTTCAAATTCTCCAGGCAGACATGATTGTGCAGTGCATTGAAATTATGCAGTAATATTCTCTGAGAGTGCGAGAAGATCGGCGCACCGTTCATTTCAACCCCTGAATTCAGCTGCTCGTTAGCGCCAACAGAAGACCCTTGCTGGCATCGCAGCAGACTAGGTAGCGTTCCCTGAATCGGCTTTCATTGGTTGAGACTCGGACGAAAGAAACATCTCAAAGGAAGCAAAAGGAAGCAAAAGAAAGCACAGGATGCAGCATTCTAGTTTCCCATATCGGCTCTTCCTGATCTAGCTTTTGAATTAAGACCACCGGCTGGGCGGAGGAGGTAAGCCTGTCACCGAAATCAGCCATGATTCAAAGTGTGCTGGTCACTCTACTACTCGAATGATCACTAATGCATTTATTCCGCAGTGAGATGCTCTCAAGTTAGCAAAAGGAGTAGGATGCGACATTGCTAAGGTATCCTGCGTGCCCGTGCTCGTTGCAATAGAATGCAGACCCAGATTGATTGTCAATCCACTATTAGCCTCCGTATAAACTTCTCACAGGCATAATAACACGAAAAAACGGGCCAAAGTTGGCGAGTCATGTCATGGGAGAACATTGCTGGGTGCAACTACGGATATCCTGGAGATCCATCCTCAATTTGACGTCACTAGTGCAAGCAGCAGCACTATTCATCCAGCCCAAGCTAGTGTCGATTCTTCTTAGATTTGCGCCTACCCCCAAAATATGTTCCCTTTGTTCGGGAGCTAACGCCGGAGTTTAGGTCCCCTCAGACGCTCCACGCTTGCCCTCCCTTCAGTGTGTCCCTTCTTCTCCGTTCATTCTGTCAGAAATTCTCCATCACGAAAGGAACATCACAGCCAAAAGCACTTGAAGTAGATCAAAATGGCCGAAACGACGACGTTACCGCATATATCAAGCCTTGTTCAGCCTGCAATACGAACAGTGGTGTCCAGCGAGGACAACTGGAAGGGCAAGACGAGCCCTGCGGAGAGACGGAAGATCCAGAACAGGCTCAATCAGCGAACGTGGAGTAAGCCGCGCACCCGCCTCATGCAACCTGCTTACGCCCGCCTTTGACTGCCCATCGTTTGATGGAATCTTCGACCACACCACATCTCGTCCAGTGACATGTGCTTACTCGTCTATCATTTGCGACAGGACAACGAAGAAAAGCTGAAAAGCAACAGCAGCGCCAAGCGAAGACCCAACAGTCTGGTACGGACGACAGGAGGCCCTCGTCCCCTTCCTCGGCCAGCAGCAGCCTGTCGCCGCCGTCCTCCAGCGCCATCGTAGCAAGCTCAGAGTGGGCAGCGGCATTACCGGCCGCCTCCGTGGCCAATGATAATGGCACGACGACCTACATGACGGTGGAAGTGTCTCGGCAGGGCCTGTACAAGTCGAAAACGAGCTCGCGGAGAAGCGCCAAGTACATGACGCTGATGGCCTTGAAGTACATCGGACGGCGACGACAAATTGCAGACATTCGCGACGAGGACTTAGACGATATCTATCAGCTGTTCCTACAGCACGCTCATCAAAGTCGAAGGAGCCCGAGCCCGGATCCAATGTCGGATTCACTAATACCGCTCGTGCAATTCAATTTGTTCCGCGGCTTGATGGAGAACATGAAGACGTTGGGTATCACTATGCCTATGATATGTGACGATGACTGCGTGTCTCCCTTTGGAACTGATCCCGTGTACAATGTCACTAATGCGTGGAATGTCCCGTACTTTTTGAGGCCGACGGAGACGCAGCTGACAACGGTACACCATCCCTGGCTCGACTTTTTGCCCCTACCGAGGATGCGGGATAACCTGATCAAGGCTGGTGATGACTGGGACGACGAGGCGCTGTGTCTAGACATGGTAGGCGACGCAGATGCGCCATCGGGAAAAGGAGGCATGATTCTGTGGGGAGAGCCATGGGATCCCAATAGCTGGGAGGTCACAGAGGACTTTGTCGAGAAGTGGCGGTGGATCTTTAAAGGGTGCGAGGAGATCATCAGGTCGTCTAACTACTGGAGGGCAAAACGAGGCGAAAAGAGGATGAGGGTGAGAATATGAAGACCAAGTTGCTCCCATGCCCACAGCTGCATCAAAGCCATGTTCTGCGATTGATTGACTCTTTCGATCCAGCTGTCTGTGAGTCGGGCCGCGCCATTGGCAGTAGTTGAAATCAGGTGGAATGAGACAAGGCGTCCGACCAATCCTTGACCATCCACGAGGCGCTTGCAGATGATCCGGCCACGGCGGCATTGAGCTCACTACGCCCGATGCACCACGCGCTAGAGCCATCTTGCCAACTACATGTCCAGAATCCCCTGTCATCCCCCATGCGGTCCTTGGTTCGAAACAGCTTCGGGAGGTGGGGGATCGATCGCCGGTGTAATCAGTATTTCTCGCTCCAGCATCGAACTCGACCAAGACTTAGGACGATTCTCAAAGACGGCATTGTGGCCCATGCCGTTCCGTCGAGAGCGCCGCAACGACGGGTGCTCTCTGAATCCTCAACAATCAGGGTGTTACCGACCTCCCAGGCAACGGTAGAGAATCATATGCGCAATTGCGACATCGACAAATGGGGCTGGGTGATCTACCGCACCACATATGGTGATGATGAGGCTTGGGAACGTTGCAAAAAGATCATCACCTACCGTACGCGCCGTAATATCGCAGACTCGGACGCACCAGGCATAGCAAACAACCTAGAGTTGACTTTTGTTGACGACAAATCCTTGTTTGATGGGGCCTCAAAACAGCAACTCCGATCTCATTTTCACACCTGGTCCCTGGAGGCATTTCAAACGGAGAATCCAAGAGCAAAAGATGTGAGCGCAGACCTCCGATATTGGATTCAAGGATGTGGCATTCCCCGATATGTGTACTTCTTCCAGGTAGACCTGGAGTCCCTTCGGAGTATCGTGTTCGAGGCGCCTCAGCCGCCCGACTACGATTTCGACTGTGAGAGCCACATCAACTTCATCGACGCCTACTGGAAACCGCTGAGGGAATGGGCAAATGTGCTACGACATACAGACCAAGACGAAATTGATACTTTTGAGAACGCTCATGAGTCCATCGAGGGGTGTGGAGAAGAGAACGTCGGGTGGATGAAGGTGTCTACTGAGACGATGGGTTCCGATTGGTATGAGGTATGGCTCGGCAGTATCGGCGGCGATGCCAGCACTTGGTATGCCTTCTACCAACGACCGCCCGAGAAGGTGTACTGGTGAGAACGCCATGGAGAGCTTTGCGAATTCCTTACAACGACCGCAACGCTCATACAGTCTTCAATGTATGGAGATGAGCACGCTCCGATGGCAGAACCATCTTCAAAGAACGCCGCACACTTAACAGAGGTCGGCGCCAAGGTGACGAGTGCCTTCAAACGCCGCTTCCCTGCGCCGCAGGGGGGCTTATGTCGAGGGGAACCTGACAGTGCGCCTCCGTCCCGTGCACCCTCAACTTCATCATGCTCATGACTACGCTCGCACGATGAGCTTTCTTTCCAGGTCCTTTCTGAATTCGAATGCTCTATACCGCCAACGTACGATCACAGTCTGCTTGCGCAATATAGTGTCTCATTCGCATCGTCGATTTCTACCTGTTCGTCATCTGTCGCCAGCCCTTGGCGGCTATCGCTACACAGAAAGCTAGCGACGCGAAAGGCTCTAAGCCCAAGATGAATATACTCTGCGAGTCTGAGCTACTCAGGGACGAAACTCAGGACTTTGACAAATGGGGCTGGGTGTTCTACAGGTGTACATACGACGATGATGACGGTTGGGCTCGCTTCAAAGACATCATCAACGACACATCGCGACAGGGCAGCGAGTACTACGAGTATCCGGGAATCCTCGACAAGATGAAGTGGACATTCTTGGAGGACAAAGAACGATTCGATCGTGCTTCCACGGCCACGTTGTGCTCTCACTTCCTTGAATGGGTGAAACAACCAGCACAGGCAGGGAGTTCATCAGACACCACCCCGAGAGTCCAACCCCCCCGGCCTAGAGAGCAGTTCTGACATCACGATGTATGATGAATATTTTGTGCAAGTCGACGAAGTATCATTGCGCAGCGTCGTGTACAAGGAGTTGCCGCCGGCCGATGCCAACCTCTACGTCCGCGGACACATCAACCTGGTGAACGCTGACTGGCAACCCGCGCGTCTGGAAGATTACCATGAAGAGAATATCATCGAAGAACACTTCAGCTTCCCAGCCTTCGAAGGATGCACCGAGGAGAACGTTGGCTGGATGAGATTGGCAGTGAGTGAAGTTGGCCCGTCTACCTTTCAGAGGATCCCTCATCTGTGGTACATCGTTTATCAGAGACCTCCTGAGATCGTGTACGGCGTGTAGAACGGGTCTCATGTAGTCTCTCAAGAAGCATGGAACACAGGGGGAGAACATAGTTACTCACGAATACTTAAGTACTAGTATATCTTCAGTTCACACTTCCGCGCGAGTCGAACGAGAGTGGTTAGGTGCGTGGATGGTCTACATAGATGTTGACTCCAATGCGTGCTGTTTCAATGGGAACCATAGAACCAACTCCTACTCTGCGACGTCCATCTAATCTTTGGCGCCATCTGTTTCGAACCAACCCTGTTGGTACATCGCCATACCAAAGCCTGACGCCTGGCTTACAGCCATGCACTTGTCCATGATCCACATCTTCGTGTCTTTATCGGCAAAAGCAGACTTAAGCACGGCTATCATGGGCCAGAACATACACCAAGCATTGAAGCCAACGCCTTGTATGGTACAGGCTGAGTCTCTGCCATCGAATCCGAATACAATACGGATCTGCTCGCAAACTTGCTCCATTGCCGTTAGTCCATGAGGGAGATTGACGAGCGTCTTCAACTCGTCGCGAGTCGGTTCTCCGAGAGCAATCGATAAGCTTAGAATATACTCAATAAGATGTAGTCTGATGGTGAGGTAAAGACCTTTCGCTATCGCATCGCTTGCGTCCGACTTGCGGCCTAATAAGTGGTTGAAAGAATTCAGATCTTCGTCGACAGCGCCATCTGGTCCAGGTTTGTTTCGGGGCCCAGGGGATAGGATTCTGTAGTTCGCGGCTGCTTCTAGGTCGCGTATGATGTCGATACCTATCTGAAAAATTTCTGTTACGTGGCCGACAGATGTCCGTTCGATATCCGGTGATGATAGCACGTGCTGTACCATGTGTTTGTAGTCGATGGCTCGAACAAGCAGCGGTTCAACCATGCCCCCTTTCGCCCAGGCTGCTTGTTTCAAGCCGACTAGGACTGGTGACCGACCTTCCTGGCCGATGAATATTTCAAGCATCTAAAATAAATTAGTGACCGACCGTGAGTTAGCCCGGCATTACAAAGATACTGACCCCCAGGTGAACCACAAACGCAAGTAGGCCCTTGTCGAGCGATGTGGCAACGCCCTGTTCGGCTCGATACCTCAGAAGTGCGAGGGAACCTCGGCAATGTGATGTAATTTTTCTTGGTGAAGTATCTGGTACTATCGCCTTCGAGCATGTCAGAGTCTCATGCCGAAAGGTTCATTCTCATGGTTAAACGTCTCCTTCACCAGCCTCACTCAGGTTACTTACCTCGAAGAGGCCGAGAGTAAGCAGGGCGACCACAACGGAGTCGTCTTGTGCAGTCGAATTATCCTTCAGTGCGCCGCCAATTTTGCTGACCGCCTTGCCATAGTGTTGCCGCGCTTGAGCCATCAATCCTGCCTGGCACATCTGTAAAGATGAGCTGGCTAATGCCGTGGCCTTGAGAGCCTCCTGCAAGACAGGCGATGAGGCAGCCGACGACTTCATGCCGGGGAAGAGGTTGAACAAAGCGACCTCGCCTCCGGATGCATAGTTGGAGTAAAAGTGGTTGAGTGAGAAGAGCTCGGAATCGACTTGAAAGGCTTTCGGTACGGTCCTCAGCCTCCTCTGAATCTCCTCTTCCTCTACCGAGTCCGGGGAGGTTCCCTCCTCGTCGACTTCCAGAATTGACGACGTCGAGCCAAATGAACCTCTTTCCTTCAGTCGTTTGGCGACCCGAACCTGGACCTGGTGAGCCGCCGATGCGTTCTGCTGGCGATGTACAACAGCCCACGGATCCGCGTAACCCGGACACGCCCTCCCGAGACTCGTGCAGCGGTTACATGAGGGCTTTCGAAGATCGCACTGGCGGCTTGCGTTAGATTCAATTCACTTCAAAGAACCGACTCAAGAGTCGACAATAGGCGTTCGGAGTCTCAGTACTTTGACTTTGCGCGCCTTGCAGGCGAAGCAGCTCGCTGACGGGCGACATCCCATCGTATCCGTCGGCGCCGGTCCTCTGTGGGCGATGAACCCCTGGTGTGATCCCGACCCCCCACCACTTCTGCGAAAAGATGGGACGTTAAGCCAGCTCTGCGGTGAGCTCAATCGGACATTGGTTTGATGAGGGGGAGCTCGTGGGATACCGACGACGGCGACGGCTTCTTCGGGAACGTGGCTTTGTTGACCTTTTTGAACAGGCGATCGCTTGCTGGTCGTTGGCTGAGCATGAAGAAGAGACAACTAATTAGGGCGAGGCCTGGCGTCTATCGAGGCTAGCTGTTCCCTGGTCCGAGGCACCGGGCGTGCGGGGGCCACCTCTGGACGATTTTAACTTTCAACAACGAAGAGATCCAACGTGCAACGAAAAGGGGATTCGTATGGGAGACTCACAGAGTGGTGATTGACCAGTGACGAAAGCGTCAGTCAGACAGACCGAGGTGATGGTGGTGGCGTCGAGTCATTTGTGGAAAGTTCTCACGCCTTGAGCACATCCCAGCTGGCGTCCATTGAACCCGGAAGCTTTGCAACAGGACTGAATCGTGTTTGATGACGTGGTCAAAGCGCCGAAACCTAAACCACTGTCTTCCAGACGGTCAACGGCGGGATTTCTGTCGCATGGATGGTATTTCACAAGTTTCTGAGGTTCGTTTAAGCTTTTGTAACGCGTGGGACTTCCCATTGTTGATGAGACTGTGGGACAAGAGGGCTGCTCCAAGCCTCCAAGACTCTCACACAGCAAATTGGTAGATTGGGTAGTAAAGGGATGCAAGGTTGGGTGGTTGCTGAGGAATCCCTGAGGACCCAAGCTCTCTCGTCCCGACATAAAGATCGGACAGATCGGGTCAAGCCTCGGGCCCCTGAATATCAAAGGAATTGCAGCCTCGGCCTGCCAGAAATAGCATTCGTCCCGAAAATCTGAATGAGTTCGTATACTTACTGCACGATGGCCGTTGAATACCTCGCTCAGGTCGAGACCGCCCTTTAGTGTGGATCAATCACACCCTCGTTGACGTCGTTGAGGTCACCCAAACTCCTGGAACACGCACATCAGACATTTTGGGAACCATTCACTTGGCAAGCCAGATTGTAAAAGTCCGTTTAGAAATGACAATGACTGAGACGTGTCAGAAGAGCTCTGAGATGAACGCTTACTCCTACTTCACGCGTTCGAGGTGGCACACAGTTCAGGCACGGCTTGGGGCGACCCTTGGTTCAACGAGGGATCAGGATATGTGAAGGCGAGATCATTGATGACAACAACTCATGTAATTGATTCAGAAATACCATCATCAATGCTGCTGTCTGCTCCGGTGTGGTGTAGAGCCTTCTCGGCCGAGTGCTTACCGATAGACTTTCGGCTTCGGTCAAATACACCGATCGAGCCTCTCGCCGCCGTTTCCTCTCTTCTTGTTCGCGCTGAACGTGATATGAGACCATTGTCTCCAAATCTTTCTCCCATCGGTGAGTTTCTCTCTCAAGCTTAACATTCGTTAGGCCCCAGTCAACCAGAATCGTGTTGATTTCTCTAAGACAGTCGGCTTCCGTGATACCCCCATTTCTCTCCGGAATGACTATGTCTCCGTGCTCCTTTCTCAGTCCATGCATCTCATCCTTCCGTTGCTTTCCTGCTGCTCTTCTCTCTTTGGCTTGAAGTAGCTGGACTTTCGTGACTTCCATTCTCCGGTGGATGCGTCCGCTAGTGGGGAGGTTTCGTTTGTCTGATGTGATGGACTCCTCGTTGCTGCTGGTTGATGAAGTTTTGCTGGACAAGCTGCGTGTAGTGTGTGATGTGGATGCTTGGAGACAGAGATCTTCTTTGAAATCCTCTTTGAAATTCTCCAGTTCTGTGTCGTGAGCTTGTCTAAGCTCGGCCAAGAGCGTGCGATGGAGCGTTTCCAGGACGCGACGCTGGATGCTATAAGCTGCCACTGCTACTTTAATGTCGTAGGTGGTTGGCGTTTTCTCATTCATTGAGTCATGGTGTTTGGATCTAGCGAAAATCTTTTTGAGACTTAACATTGGTTTAGTTAATCTGGTCGATTTCCTTGAAAGGTCGGGTTTATTTCTGAACCTGATGCGAGTGTTGGTGAATCTATCCATAAGAACGACGGGGGGGTGTCTGGCGTTCGGTTGTCTTGAGACACGAGAAACAGACTTGATAGGGTACTATCCTAATGCTAGAGGACAGAAACTCCAGGAGAAAGCCGTCTACTCTTACACTCAACTTTACAACTATCTCCGATGCTCCCGACGAAGACTGATTCGGTGTCATGGTCGAAGCGGTGGATCTTGTAAGCTTTTCTTCTTCAAGAACCTCTTTGGACTCAAACCTAATGCAACCCACGGTTCCACGGACATCAACTTACGGTAGAATTCGTCATGGAGAACAGGCTAAAATTCCTAAAATGACGGAAGTAATTGATGATTTACAGGTCAAAGCTCGTCACTGCATAGCATTCGTGACTGCTCTAAATAGAACTTGGGCCCAGATTTGATAACCCCTCTCGTTTAGATGAACATGGTCTTCCAGACACTCATCCATATCAACCAAGGGCGGCTCCAAGAACTCTATCCGGCTCGATCCATTCTCTTGAAATTGCCGAACAAGCTCAACATAGCTCTCATTCGCTTCCGCAACCAGTTCATCCTTGATATCCTTCCTCCTGAAGAGCCCGACGAGAAGTATCTTGCCATTCGTTTCGAGCAAAGCCTCTACAACCAACCGAAGTAGAACCAAATCAGATTTTCTCATTCCGCGCTTAGGATGTAGGTTATTTGTGCCCACATGCAAGACCCATAACTTGACATCGCGGTTCCGAAGTGCATCCAACAGCCCGTTAAGGGGTTTCACGGGGTCTGATGAGCCGGTGAGTCGATAGATGACGTTTTCGAACTTATCGCCTCCCACGCCAGCATTGAAGACGCCTTGTATGCGTCCAGGGCTAGCCGAAGAGACTTGTGGTTGCTGGCGAAACGTTTCATCGCTGATCAAAGCTGTGGATGGCCATGGGTCGAAGCTCGGAGATAGGCCAGTTGTGACCATGCGTTCGATCATTGAGTCTCCAAGCAAAACAACGGACGGCCCCGTAGGGTTATTCTGAAGTTCTATAGTGTGCCTCTCACGAGATGTCTCGTGAGACCGCTGCTTGTATTTGCCGTGAGGAATCAGATTATCCATTGTTCTCTCAGATACTGGAGGCTTTCTCGATTCATAGGCCCAAAAACGAATGATTGAGGCGAAGTTTGAGTTGTTATTGCGATGCAATAAGCTCAATTGAAAGACATCTGATTCACCTTCTTTCAGAAGAGAGTTTCTAGGGGTTTACTTATGGCTTGAAAATACTCGAGGCTGTATGTTACCTGCCATATGTTGGAGTGTGCCTACGGTGGCTGTGCAAATCTCACGAATCTGCCCAGCCCGCCGTTGACTCATCCGGCGTGTATCCTCAACTTTTCACAATCCACGACCAACCACTTTTTATCACTCCAAAAAGTATTCTCAGGTTGAAGATTCCTTTTGTCGCCAGTTTCCTGATGCTGCTGATCTAAGTGGTTGAGAAGATCTCGTGCTGTTGTCGCGATTCGAATTCTCAAATCTGGGCTTCCGCCAAGCCGAGCGCTCACTGTTGTCCTTCTCATTCTGCACTTCCGCAGGCGTGGACCGGGTCTTGAGCTTGTCGGGCATAGCACGAGCAACGTTGACACGTAGACGACCGGCTCCCCATTCCTTACGGTCCAGCTCGTTCCTTGCTGCATCGGCCTCCTCAGCTGTCGCAAAATCAACGAAGCAGTAGTGGTGTTCACCGCCCTTGGCCCTAGTAGACTCATGGGGAGTGATGCGCTTGCTGATAGCTAGTCTGTATTGTCGGAGTCAATGGAAGTTAGCGGCGACGCAGGGTAAGTCCACCATCGCTAGCGAGGGGGTTTCTTACGGTTTGTGGCCCTCAAGAATTTGTTGCAGCTCATCCTGGTGTTGCGCCTGATCAACCATCGCACCCAATCCTCCAACATAGAGTCTTCTGCCATCCCCTTCCGTTGCAACGACCTCATCGAAGTGCTTGACGGCGCCGTACGGTCCACTCTCAATGCCGCCGTTCCTACCGGTGCGCGCCGGTGATCTGCCAGCCTCGTCGCCACCGTCACCCCGCGATCCGGACCAGTCTCCCCACCTGTTGAAAGCAGGCTCTCTGTCGCTTTGCCATCGACTCCGATTCTGCTTCTTGGGCTCACATGGGCCGACCTTGAGTGGCCTACCACGGAGGCGCGCGTCAAGGGAGGATAGTGCCCGTTCGGCGTCTGCGCGCTCAGCGAAATCGACGAAGCAGTATCCGGGATTCCGAGCCGAGACCGGATCCATGGAGATGTGAATCTTTTCGTATCCTTCAAAGCCATTGTCCTTCAGCATCTCCTCAATGTCGGCAGGCTGGATGCTGTAGAGAAGGTTGCCCAGGTAGATGCGCCGGCCCTCTTCCAGGGCGGCGGGCTGCTCCGATGACGAGGCCATGATGTCGGTTGTTGAACTCCAAGGATAAACTGAGCGTTGAAATGAATTTCTCGCAGCCTTATGTTTGCCAACCACGTGTCGTTGGGAGGGATGTGAAGGATCAAAATTTGAGAAGTCCTAGTGAGGGGCATGAACCAAATAACAAATACACAGTGGGGTAATTCGCGTTTTTGCGGCTAGGGTTCACCGGCACAGAAAAGCTTATACTTCGTTCCATTAGTCGGTGAACAATGAATAAAAGAATATAGGAAGCTCTCAAACTGCAAGGTCCTCATAACCAATAATTCAATGCATTAAAGAACGATGGTATCGACGTCCAGCCCGAGAATAAGCGCCTCGAGCGCCCCCTTATTTTGCATAACCAAGCTCAAAGAATGAACACGGGCTGTCTGTTCCCGATCAGCTCACTTTTCGACACTTGCACATCCTTCTTATCGAAATCGTGCAACATCAACCAACAAATCATCCTAAACACGAGCGTATACCAGATTGCCAAACGCTGCATCTCGATATGATTGGGTACTATCGTTTCCCACTGCGGCATCTCTGGCAACTTGCTGGGCAGCGGAGGTTCCGGCTGATCACTCGGTTGCTCGGTCTCGATCCGATGAGGCCACGTCTTGACTCTGCTGATGCCGGGCGTTGGCGTCGAGTCATCTAGAGCCTTAGTCGGAGACTCTCCGGGGTTGAGTCTCAAGGGCGTTTGGGGAACGGCGCTGCCGGCCTGGGGTGAGCCGTTGCCCAAGCGCGATATGCGTTTCTCGGTGTCGTCGTGTATGGCTCTTGAAACGACCTCGTCGTCTCGTTTGCCCCTCTTGGTAGAGTTGGTAGGCACTACACGCCATAGTATACGCTCGAAGTATGTCTCCATAAACCTTTGCTCTCTCATCTCGAGAGGAATACCAAGCAGGTCCCGAAACGAAATCTGTTCTTTCCCCTTTTTATCCGGACTATTGATGGCTGCCAACACTTCCTGGAGGTGACGACGTAGCACGTCGAGCACAATTCCCTGATCTCTTTTCTTGAGAGACTTGTCTGCCAAATCGATAGCCTTGTGCAAGAGACTCATTCTTTTGCTCGTTAAAGGCGGGTTCTCGTCAAAGTCGTTGCTCATCTCCTCCGCTGACTCCGAAAGAGCCCTGATATCCTCGACGGCAGTTTCAACCCTCTCGTCGATGACGGTCTCCGCCTCTTCTTCGACAACCGTGAGATCGTTCATCAACAGTCCGCTGAAAGCGATAAGCAGGCGCTGGAGTGATAACGAATCTCTGTCCCAAGAGAAAATGGTTGGATTAGGCAGGAAACGGAAGCATCTTCCTTCAATGTGCAAAACTCGCGCGAGCATGCCGATGACTTCGAAAGTTACTGCCCAAAAGTCAGCTGAACATGCACGAACTCGCATATAGTTGCCCAATACACTGGATACGTACCAGAAAAAAGGTGCCGGTCTTTCTTTCCTTCCTTATAAAAGAGCGTGGTTTTGCCGTTGCACCCTATCTGGGTCAAAGTCTCCGCAATGGCATCGCGAGTGCTCAGTTGGAGAATTTCGACCTTGGTTCCAGTTCCCGATGACGTCGTGAACTCCTTCTGCCACTCCAAGTCTTCGTCCGGGTCCTTCTTATCTCGATAAAAAGTTGGCACTCGCCCAAAACAGAGCTCTTTCACTTCAGATGTCGGGATCACGCGGCGTTCCTCGAATGAAGTGTGGCCGGTTTTCTCAAAGACAAAGACGACGCCCAAGTCTGGCACACGTGAGCCAGTCAGACTATAACCGTTTCCTTCCGCGCGGTACTGATTGTTGTCTCGGTCGAAGACTCTCCAGTAGAGTCCAAGTATGGCCGCCAATTCAATAAGGTGAGAGATCGTAGAGGTTGCATACGGCTTCTTTATGGAAGGGTTGGCATCAAAACTTCTATTCTTCGCCTGAACTTTTACGGCCAGGGTCGGCTCAGGCAAGTTAGGTTTGATGGAATGTGGCAACCATTCATTTTCCCCCTGAAGCTTGCTCAGCTCCCACTCCTTGGAATCCTTCTCCATTCTTTCAACAGCGATCAGGAGATAGACCCAGGTTGCAAGCTCGTTGTCAACAGTATGGACCTTTTCGGGGGGCTTGGATGGTTTTTCGTTGCTGTTTTCGCTGGTCGGTTCCTGTTTTGGGAATATTTTGTCATAGTCGAGTCGGTTCTTGGTACAACTGTCCTTGGTGCCCTCCACAGACCACATGTCTCCCTTTTCAGGTTTGTTCATGTTCTTCGGGGGTGCCAAGAAAATGATTGGAGCCTGAAATCTGACCTCGAGTCGCAGCTCTTTAAATTTTGGTCGCTTTGTCGTACCTCCCGCCCATCCTCCCATTACATCTTCGGTGCAATTTGGGAGTCCTTTGGCCGATGCAAAAATTGCTTGCATGATCTGTAAAGTCGCTGCAAAGAGAGCGACCACTGAGACGACGAGAGCGACAATCGCAACAACTACGTCGCTCCCTCCGTTAGCATTGCCATTGCTGTTGCTATTGTCGCTCGGGCTATTACTGGTATTGCTGTCGGCCATCTTGACAGAGTTTCACCCTATGAAACACCGTGGAATGATGACAGTGCGACAGAGAGCATCAAAGTCCGATATCTTTGCCAAGAATCCTGTCCCGTACGGCTGGGATTGAGGACGAGATCGGTTGATGCTACCCCGCCGAGGAAGATTCCGTTGATCACCGGCAGAAGTGGGTCGTAAGTGGACAAGCCGGCGCCGGAATTGTGAGCACGTGGGCGGCGGCGACTAGCCGTGTCTAAGACCAAAAGTCGGTGAAGGTGTCTAGTAGCTTAGAACGCCATCGTTTCGACAAGAGACAATTTGTACGTCGACGACGAGACATAAATAAATAGGTTAAAGAAGATAGAAAGTCGAGAATGAGGCTTTGGTGAACTACCGCAATTGATGATTTTGCGACGGTTCGCCCCGTCTCACAGGATTCCAGCTGCAGCTGAAGGCCGCTTATGCGGCATCCCTGAAAATGCGCATCATGAGGTCCAGCTCAGCCCATGGCGCAGCCCAAAACAGTCTGGAAGGGACACCGCGGATGTACGGGTTTTGCGGCCTGCGTAGACAGCCTGATAAGCAACTAGTAGAAAGTGTGCCATTGGTGGCCTTCTTCTGTCAGAAACTTGCCATACAACCAATAATTCTGCCCGTCAATACAGGTGCGTAACCATATCTCAATCATTGGGCAGTGTTCAATTGGAGATGCTAACCACTGTCACATCTCACCAACAGCACTCTTCGCATTCAAGCAGGCTGCGCAGAGCCTCCTTCTTTCGCATGGAGACTCGGAAGCTCTAGTTGCGGGCCTCATAAGTTCTTGCGCGTGAATTTGCCCATGGAAGTCTGCCTAACCAACTTTCTGTTGCTAGAACGTCATAAGGCATCTTGGATTTCTGACTCAAAAGCTGGCCGACACCGATCGACCCACTAGGCCTAATGCCGACGCATTTTCTGTTAACCCCTTGATTTCGGTCAACTTGCGAAGATCAAAATGAGGTTGGAAGAAAACATTCAGGTGCCTTCCACTCTTTTGAGATTGGTGGTTTGGAGTTGAGTATAGCGTTGTTGTACTGAAGGGTTGAACCCTGGCGAGAGGTTCGTCTGATGCTTTCGGGATATAAGGGAGTCTGTGCATAGTGTTATGCGGGATGACGGGGCCATGCCTCCATTCTAGAAGGGAGAACTAATAAAGCATTTCCGGCAGCAGCATCCCAGCAACACATCAGCCAAAGTTGCCAATCATGAAGATGATGTGGTATGCTTGCTAATCATGGCTCACCTTTGTGACCTGGAATGGAGGTAGAAAAATTGCTCTCTCGAAAGGAACACGAATCTGAAATTTGGAATCTTGAGCGTCATTATGTGTCTCAATTCGTGGTATTCTAGCTACTTAGATTTTAAACAAAGAAAAATTACGCTTCGTTAGTTCTTCAATATCCCATGCTGGCTTGAGTGATTTGATGCACTCTCCAAATCATCAGGGAGATGCTCGTAGGGCCCGGCCTTGCGATCTGTGTCTTGCCTGAATTCTGACACAATCACCTCTTTTGTTTGCATGATTCCCTCCATGGGACCCAGCTTGCGTCGCGTGCTCATGGCATAAGCCTCCTCCTCTGCATTCCCGCGCCGGACGGTGGACCGATGCGTAGAGACATTGGTCCCTCGACCATAATAGTGAAGTCCCGATGTTCCGCCGTGAGATTTTGACGATGACTTTGCTTGTCTCCTCTTGTTCCACAATCCGTACAGTGTCGGTGCGTTGACGACGATCGCGGCGGTGAGCAGTTCGGTGCTAGCCCATGTTGTTCGGTTGATCTGACTGTCCTTGTTCGTAATGTTGATCGGAAGTCGAATGACGGTGATGGCGATGATGAAGACGCCGAGTGTGAAGAGGGCGTACAGCTGAATCTTGCGTTGCCATGGCGTCTTCAAGGAGAAGACCAGAGGAAGTGGTAGTACGAGGAGCATAAAGTCGGTAACGATGTTGAGGACACCGACGACGACGAGTTGCATTTGTGCCTTTGAGCATGCGCCTGCAAGGGTTGCGTGTCAATAATCAGAGTTCGTTCCATCCCATCGGCATGTCTTGCATGTCGGAGAATTGGCTAGTCACGTACCTGGGTCAGGAACAACCTGCCAGTAGAGGTGGAAGGGATTGCATTCGCTGAACGTCGTCACCTGGCAGGCGACGTAGGTACAGAAGAAGATGATGGAAAATGACCAGATGGTGATCTTCTCAAAACGAAGGTTCAATAATAGTCGACGATAGACATCCAACAGGACGAGCTTCTGAAGCCAGAGGCTTGGGATCTGTCAGTATGATTGATCGTAAAAGTCTAATAACCTTCCTGACTCAAACCGCTGCAGATTGTGACCAAATGGCCCAAAGGAGCGCTGAAGTCCAGGGTGGTTGAGGGTGCACGGTGATGCAAATGGGGGCGGCACTGACTAGGAGTTGTAAAAGACCCGGTTCACAATGGACAGTTTGCTGCCGATCTCCCGCCTGTAGATCTCTTCGTCGGTAAACGTGTGATTCTTTCGATATGCCGCCGAGACGTTGTTCGTGCCCCAAGTCAAGACGACGTGAATAAGGCCGAGCCGCGTCAGCGCGCAGACAATGGCGGCGACGGTGAACCAGTCGCCCAGGTTGTATTCCTGTCTGGAGATGTGCACCTTTTTCCAGACCAGCCGAGCCACCATGATAATGAGGGCCAAGCAGCTAAAGAGCCAATGGATGAGCAGCGTCGGGTCGTCCATGGCCGGCGAGTGTCCGAGGCTCCGGGGGGTCGACGAGACGATGGGACGGGACGGAGACAAGACAAGACAAGAGACGAAAAAGAGAGACGACGGAAAAAAAGGAGCCCCTCGAGAAGAGGAGCGCGGATTCGGGGGGCAGATCATGAACATTATTATCTTCTTGTATTCCCGTCTACGTACTCATCGCACTAAGGTAGGGGAGAATAGGGGGCCTTGCTAGCTTGATACGCAAAGTCTCCCGATCCCAGCTTGCCCGAGGTACTGACCTGCTGCGTGAAAGGACCATCATACCATTCTCAGAAATGTTTGCGGGCGTGACCAGTCTCTGGGGAGTCTGGGACCTTGCCAATGCTTGCAGAGCGGCCAGAGCCTTGCAGAGAAAAGAGAAAAAAGATGGTCCTAGATGAAAGGATCAGGGCTTGAGACCTCCGGAGTTTGGATGCTGCGAACCCCAACTTTCCCTGGTGCTGGTTCGGATGCACGTCGGCTGTCGAGGAATCTCCATAAGATGTGTGATTGCGATGATCCACCGTGGGGCTCTTCCTCGCAGCTCGTGCGGCACGTACTCTTTCGTCTGTGTGGTCTGTCGACTTCTAGAAGCCGAGGAGGGCCGATTTGCGAGAGCCTGAGAGGAGACGTCTGGAGTCTTGACCCAGATTCGCCTGTGCCGCTGTGCCGCTGAAGATTTGCTGCAGGATTTAGAGATGCCGAGGGAACAGGTGGAGTGCCAAAGGTCTTGCGTTGTAATTGTTTAGGTACAACTTGGACAGCCGATATTGATAGAAGTTTGTTTTGTTTGAGTTTGACAGCTTGACAGTGACACTCTTTTCTTGCGCTCAGATGTTTTCAACGGCTACCAACGACGGGAGCGATTCTTTAGCCGATCGAACCCCAACTCAATACGGACAATTGCTAGTCTGCTTCGACTGCTTTCAACGAACTTCACTGAACTGAGTCTAGTGGCGGCGGGCGGCGTTGAACTTTACGAGTGCCTCCCCGGCTAGGGGTTTATCGGAGCAAAAAAGCTCACCGTGAAGAGAACGGGAATGGGCTGACCGTTGGTCCGCCGGCTGCTAGCATCACAACACTAGTGAGTGCCGCCACAGTCGTATTACACGTATGGTTCAATGGTCCCCTTCCTCCAGGATCCAAGGCCGGATTAGACGGGCTTGGCAGCCTGTTGAAGAGCATCCAGGATGATGGGATGTACGGATAATGGATATTGTTGTGCAGACCCGATTTATCCAACAACCAAAGATCACAATAGTGGAAAGAATGCCGGGTTTGCGAGATCATCGTAATCAGGACTTCGCCCCGCCGCTAGTTTGAGTTGATCAACCGAATCCCCCCCACGTTACGTTGAAGCGATTTACGGTAATAAGAATGTCGTCTTTGGGTCCCTTGGCTTTTCGCTGCCCGGCACATGGCTTTGACAGAATATTGACGGAACTTAGCCCCAAAACATGCCATATAGGGTCAGATTTCCTGCCTCGAGAGTTGGCAAGAGTCAGACACCTCGTCCGGAAACGTTCTCTACCAGTCTTTTCTGAGGCTTTCTCTGCTCAATGGCGGAGATTAATGCTCGGGCTTGATCCGTAGTCAGCGGCCTAGTGGAAGACTAATATCCATGATGCCGGACTGATGCAACACTTGCTCCATTCTATATGAGACCATCGGGCGTGGTAGTCCCCCGGTCCCTGTCCGCCCGCTGACTCGCGCACAGAACACCACTCTAATATGAGCCGGCTTGCTCTTGTTGATGGAGAAAATTTCCAGCAGAGAAAGCTGTCCGCGGCGGTGCGCCTCCTTTTGCGGCTTGCCTCTGTCCCGCCCCCCCGACTTCCGCCGTGATATCATCTCGTCCGCTGGGACCGCTGGGCCACAGCCCACCTCGACGGTCCTCGCTAGAGATCGGGACCTAGCCGCGTGGCGTTCTTGTTCTCGACCTTTCGGCTGAC